TCTAATTCTACTTTTAAAATATATTTTTATTGCTACTTGTAATTTGAGTTTCTAAACTTTTGATCTTTTATAAGGATGAGATATTTTAATAAAAATACTATCTCTTCTATATATTGATTATCTAAATTTAATTACTTTTAAATGTATATCTAAATTAAATATTTATTCTAATGTATAATTCTAATTTTACAAAAAAATAATCATAAAATAAAAAATATTATTACATTATAATATGAATGATTATGCTAATATATGAATTAACTATTTTTATTTTATTAAAAAATAATCATTAAATAAAAAATACTGATTATATTATAATATGAATTATCATTACAATTTTCAAACGTTATTATAAAGTCAAATTAAATTATTAATTTGAAATTTTAAATTAAATCATAATTAATCAAATCAGATCAGATCCAATCAGATCAGATCAGATTCAATCAGATCAGATCTGATCAGATCCAATCAGATCAGATCCAATCAGATCAGATCAGACCAAATCAAATCAGAAGTTATTAGAATCAGATCAGATCAGAAAAAATAAGTTGAACCGAATGGAGCTACTTTTAAGCTTTTTTTTTTTCTGTTTCGCCCAGGCCAATGAATCCGACCGGCCCTGCCCAATTTCTTGAGTATCTCCCCGCTCTTAAACACTCTACAGCATAGAGGTTTTCCGGCAGAACGATCTCCGACTCACCTTTCCCGACAATGAAGGAGGAGAAGAGGCTAATATCAATTGGTTTTGAGGGTTCTGCCAATAAGATCGGCGTCGGGGTAGTATCTCTCGACGGCGCAATCCTCTCCAACCCCCGCCGCACCTACATCACTCCGCCGGGACACGGCTTCCTCCCCCGCGAAACCGCCCAGCACCACCTCCAGCACGTCCTACCTCTCGTCAAATCCGCCATGGATACTGCCGGGGTAACCCCAGAAGACATCGATTGCCTGTGTTACACCAAGGGTCCGGGCATGGGTGCACCCCTACAGGTCTCTGCTGTGGTCGTCCGCGTCCTATCCCAGCTCTGGAAGAAGCCCATAGTTGCGGTGAACCATTGCGTTGCTCATATTGAGATGGGGAGGGTTGTGACCGGGGCGGTTGACCCGGTGGTGCTGTATGTCAGTGGAGGGAATACTCAGGTCATAGCTTACAGTGAAGGGAGGTACCGGATTTTCGGCGAGACCATTGATATCGCTGTCGGTAACTGCTTGGATCGATTTGCTAGGGTTCTGAATTTGTCCAATGATCCAAGCCCTGGGTACAACATTGAACAGGTGAGATCATCTGTGAGAAATAGAATTCGTTTCAGATTTTTTCCATATTCATTTGAGCCCAAGATTCAAATTTTCTGCATATGGAGAAACATCAATTCAAACTTTTGGGTTTAGAAGTTGATTTTGTGATCATGATCTGTTTCCCAATTGCCATCCAGGGGGAAACACTAATGACATACTCTGTTGTAATTACTTTAAATAGGAGAAACATTTTGTAGCACTTTGATTGCTTGTGAAAATGCAAATATAGCATTATCATTCATCATCATTTGCGATGATTGGAATGGATAAAAGGCCTTCATGGCTTCTCTTTTTTGAAAATACACACAATTTAAGAATAGACGAACCGTGGAGTTATGTACGTGACGTTGAAGTGTGAATTGATTTGAGCTACATAAATAATACCAAATTTGATATGAGACAAAAATTTCGGGGCAGACCAAAATGGATAAAAAATAGACAAAAATAGTGTGGTAAATGAAGTAGTTTTATAGTGAACTTAGTGTTTGTGGATAAAGTTGCAAGTTAGGCATCAACAAAGTGAGCAAATAAACATTGCTTTCACATTCAAAGAAAGAGTATTGACGATTTGTTCTCTGTTACAGCTTGCAAAGAAAGGTGAAAAGTTTATTGAACTTCCATATGTGGTAAAAGGGATGGATGTTTCATTTAGTGGAATCTTAAGTTATATTGAAGCTACCACCGAAGAGATGCTAAAAAACAATGAGTGCTCCCCTGCAGATCTTTGCTACTCGTTACAGGTAACATGCTAAATACGTGTGTACTTAATAATTTCCCCCCTTCATTTTTATGTTATGTAGCCACGTAGGCTTAAAAATGTATTTTATCCCTGCAAATGTAGCATTAAAGATGACCACTTTCGTTGTTCTGTTTGTTCAAAATTAGTTGTGCACTTTCCATATTCAATAAAGTACAACGAATTATCAAAAATACTCTTAGGGTCCGTTTGGTATACGAAATTGATGGAATTGGAATTTAAATTCCATGGGATTCAATTCCATAAAATTGAATTCACCAATTCCAATTCATTTTTTGCACTATCAATTCCAAATCCACATATAAACATAGTTGTGTGTAAACAGTCAAGACTTGATTTGTCATTATAACAGAGGAAACGGTCAAGACTTGATTTGTTTATGTGTAATTCATTTAGGAAACTTTGTTTGCAATGCTTGTGGAGATCACAGAACGGGCGATGGCACATTGTGATAAGAAGGATGTGTTGATTGTTGGTGGGGTGGGGTGCAATGAGAGACTGCAAGGGATGATGAGAACTATGTGCGCAGAGAGGGGTGGGAAGTTGTATGCAACCGACGACAGATACTGTATTGACAATGGAGCCATGATTGCCTACACTGGACTCCTAGCTTATGCTCATGGAGCATCAACCCTAATGGAGGAATCAACATTCACACAGAGATTTAGAACTGACGAAGTGCTAGCAATTTGGAGGGAGAAGGAATCTATTAGAGGTACAAAATGTAGTGCCGTGGCAAACATCTAACCGAGCCTTTCAAGGTTCTTCTACACCTTGACCTTTATTTTTATTTATTTGTTTTCTTGCTATTTGTTTTTCAATTCTACTGCATGGCCATTAAAACTGAATCGTTCAACTTTTTATCCAGTTCAGCAATTCATCTAAGTAAATTTCAGTTGAAAAGAGTGTTCATGATTGCTGTGGTTGTGGTTGTGGTTATGGTTATGGTTAGTTCATATTATGCATGATTGTTCCAAGTTCATATTTCTTGAAGTTGATAAGCAAAAAACTCTGGTGCCCCTCCCTCGGTGTCTTGTTTGTACACATGAAACTCACATTGTATGTAGTCTTTCATAGTATGTTGAAGCAGACCAAGGTTATTACTTTTTACTCTCATTCCCAAAACATTTTTTTACACTTTACAATACTTTTTACATTTCCATCATTTCATTTATCATTTTCCAAAAAACCTTTTTACTTTAAAAACTGCAGAGTCAAATGCAAAAAGTTTATTTAGGGTGGGAGAGAGTGTCAGTTTTTGCAAGTACGTTTTCCCTTCTCTAATTTTTTACGGAGTAGGATATTGAGTAATACATGCATCCTCCTCTTAGAAAGGCTTTTGTATGATGATTGATTGTAATTATCTTTTAATCAATTTATATAAACATTGGCAAAAAGATACTCCCTCTATCGACTGTTTTGGTTTACGATATTTGATTCAAGTTATTTTTAATACAATTTATTTGAGAATTGTTGTTAAAATTTGAAAAAAAAAAATTGTCTTTAAAAAATACATCAAAAGTTGAAGGAAACAAGAAGTGACATGATTATTTTTTTTTTTAAATTAGTAACAAATATAAGAAGAGAAAGTGAATGAAGTTTAACTATATGTATATGTGTATATATATATATATATATATATATATATATATATATATATATATTAATTTGGGATGGAGGTAATAATATATATTCCCGTCCAAAAATTATTTTTGCATTGCGCATTACAATGTTTGATTGAAATTATTTTCAAATCATTTTAAATAAAATGTGGTGTAAAATTTAAAAATAAAAATTACATAAATAAAAATTACATCAAAAGCTTTACAAAACTTGAGGTGACATGATTATATTATTTTATCAAATAAGCAAACAAAGTTAATAAAATTTAACTCTGTGAATATTGAACGAGAAGATAATTTTTGGATGAAGGGAGTATTAGTTTAAAACTCGTAGAAAAAATTTATATCGTTACTCCAAAAATGTATGATTAAATATAATTACTCACAAATTTAATAAATAAAATCACTGCTTTTAAAATATTAATACTCATATATGTTTACTTCAGTGCTCTCAAAATTGGAGCTTCTTTCAAATCATAGTACTCCCTCCATCTGAAAATATTCTTCTCATTTGATTCTTTTTGTCAAAGTTTATAAACTTTGACTTCAATTTGTGGAAGAAATATAGGAGTATTGTATTAGGATATAAATTTAATATCAATATATTCATAATAAAACATAATCTAGAAATAATAAATTTTTATAAAATGTTTTTATGTAAAAATAGAGATATTAATGGTCAAAGTGTAACATCAGAAATCATAAAAAGTCAAATGAGAAGAACATTTTTGGACAGAGAGAGTATTAGTTTAATTTAACTCTTTCAACTTAAATCTGACAAACTTTAATTATCAATTACATGTTCTACTAGGCATTAAATTTGATTTACATGTTTGATACGATGGAATAAATTCTTAGTAGTTTTCAACAACACAAATCTATTGAAATCATTTTTATCTTAACATGCAATGAATTTTTTTTTATAATTTAATTAAAATTTGCCCCGTGTGATTCGAAATGACCAAATTTGACAGATACTTTCATGTCAAATCATTGGCCTACTTAACGTTGGAGCACCGATATAGTCATATAATCAACTCCATCATTCTGCGAACAATGATTCGAAGAAACCACATCTCCATTCTATATCTCAATTAAGTTTGGTTTCTGAGTCAGTTATGGAAGTAAGGTAATGGACGGAAAATATTCATATTTTGATTATTTGAAGGTACTTGAATTGTCTTCTTTCTTCATTGCATGACATTAGTTGTCTACAACTAGAAACATGTTTTTTTAAGGGCCAACTTTCGTGTACCAAATAAATTTTATAAACATGATTTGCCTAACATGATTTGAAGTTGCCATTTCAAGTGATGACTACTGACTAGACATTGAATTAGATTTCAGAAAACAAAATTTTAAAATCTAGAATAAAAATATAAATGAAATCTGCTTGGAAAAGCGCAAACCTGAATGAAAACTCCAAAGTGTCGCAACAAAACCTTCTTCCTTCACATGCCTTAGTTAGAAGAAGTAACAAAGAGTAATTTCTTTTAGATATCAGAACATAAACGAGAATCCGACCAGTAAAGAACATCGCACAGTTCTCCAATTAGACTTCAAACCGCTTGGTGTAAAATTACTGTTGCTGCTGCTGCTCATAGATCTGCATATATGCCTCCGAGAGTGCAACGACATGTGAGAGTGTCTCTGTGACATGCAAGTCTTGCATCTCGAACCTGTAAAATGCACGGGATTATGAGTGAGAGCGAATCCCTCTAAGGGCAATAAAGAATAAAATAAAATAAAAAAAATGGAAAAAGGGGGGGTAAAGTCAACCATAGGCCTTCTGACTTGCGTTGTACAAACGCCCGGTAGGATCCTTCCCCGGGCTTCCCATCATGCACAATATTGGCAATTAAGTCATACTTGGACCCCAACTTTTCCTTTGCATTGGGTGGTGATGGAAGTGGGATATAGTCCTTCAGCTCTAGGTTCTTCACAGGGAAATTCACTGGTACAAGAAGCAAGATGATAAATGCTTGTATATATCACTCACAAATCATAGTAAAACAAGCTGCCGGACATAAAGCACTCATCTACATCTGATTCCCAATCTGCATTTAATAATATACATACCAAGAGTAGGGTTTTTCTCCACAAAGAAATTGTTTTTCGTGAACCGGCGCATGTGGAGAATTAGATACTTTGGCAGTTTTGTCACACGGTATCTCATCCTTGCTAAACGAGGTCTCACAACTTCCGTCACAGTCTCACCATCAAACTTCTTAAGTATATTGAACAATGGAACCTAAAACAGAATTCCAGTAAAATAAAAACACTCATTATCATATACTCCGCATTAATTGCTTATCTAAAAAGAGCTCTGCAGCTGAAGAACAATGGTACAAAACAAACCTGGGGAATAATGTTTTTCTCCAGAATATCTTGGAAAAGTGGAGGTGGTGGTAAATCAAGCCCTAGCATCAAGAAAGGCATTCTACTTGTTTCAGTGATAAAATTGATTGCCTTATTTTCAGAATCACCATTAGTCTCCGCAACAGGTCTACTATGCATCTCCTTCACCACCTCCAACTCGCCCTGCAACAAAAGAAACACCATTACAGTATAGTCAATACTAGCGTACGACGAAAACCGTATTTAAAGAAACAATTCCTTTTAAGAGCAACACCTGAAAGCAGTTGTAGATAATACTGCTGCTTTTCTTTGAAGTTCTCAGATCGGCATGGAGGGTATTAAGAAGCCATGACATAAACTCAACAGGATCAGACTGCACACCAATTCGGAAACGTTTTTTGCTTGACTTCATTACAGCTTGCAAGAACTCGTGTGGGCTGACCTGCAATATCGCAATGTTAAAGACATTTCCAAACTACATTATCAAGGTGCAGCTGAGGAACAGTAGCAACCTGTCCTTTGAAGTTCCTGGCATGCCATATCTTTCGCGTGAGCTCACCAAATCGATGAACCAGTGGGGATTTGATGTGTTGATAATTTTCAGGGATAAGAAAGAAATTCCTCAAGGGAGTCACACGCATTAAAGACTGAATTGTAACATTGACAAAATCAGTCTCCTTAATGTTATTCAGCCCCACCTAACAGATTTAGACATGAAAAATTAGAATTTGAGTGGGAAAAACATCAAATAAGCATTTAGAACAAAAAACATGAAAATAGAAGCACAAAAACAAATTGAGTAAAACAAAACCAATGTTTGCTACCGTTCCAGGAAGATAATTAGATCCATCAAGTGCTCTAGACCATTGTGTATTCTTATCAAACTCTTCGACTTGTTTCTGTGAAAATCTGGAAAGCAATAACAAGACAATAGCCTGAGGAAAAACAAATGAACAAAAAAAGAGAAGAAAAAGAAGTTGATGAAATCAATCAACAGTGGTTCTAGCCGTTCTAGCATACCTAGGATACAGAACATGTCGAATATCATCAAGTGATGAATCTATAATTTCATATCCATCAGGAAGACAATAAATCTTTTCTGTCCGCAGATTGATGTAAACATGGTGCCCTGCTTCAAGACTATGTGTATAGGCATGAGATTTCGGTCCCCTTCCTTGGTAATACTTCCCACAAACCAAACACGCATACACGTTTAAATTTGTGAGAGAGACAGAACAAAACTTCTCAAAGTCAAAATCCAAAACCTGCAAAAAAAGGCTAAAATGAATCAGAAAGCAAGCCACCTTGTTAAACAATTTAAAAGTTTCAGTGACACGTTTGATTGATCCATAGGAGAAAGGAAGAAAATGAAAAAAGAAAGACAGAAATTCAGTTTCCATATAAGCTTACAAGAACTGATAAAAATTGGAATATAGTTAAAGCAAGACTAACTAGAAACCTAAAATGTAGTAATTTTTTAGAAAACATGCAATTATCCAAATATATATCGCAACACGACACTCAATCATTCACATATAAGCACATAGCCCCATGATACACAGAAACATACTAAAAACAAAAACCTTTTTAAATTTTTAGCATTGCCCTCAAGAATAGGATGAACATGATTTTATTGACTAGCACATATTCAGCTCTGCAACTTCAAAAAGAGCTAGATGCACAAAACTATCTGAACTTTACTGTATATACAAACTCAGTGATGAAACAAGAATTAGCAATGACCTGTCTATTAACTGTATCAAGGTAAGGACAGTCCCTTCTCACTTCAACCATTCGATACTGCCTACCTGCAGTTCCTTTGCCGCTCACATCTTCATTATCATCCTCTTCACCATCATCTGTGTTTTCACTTCCCCCCATTCTTCCTAATACAGAATTCTGATCGGTTTTGTTGCAATCATCCTCATCATCATCGTCATCATATGATGCAAGCGGAAGAAGTGCATTATCAAAGGCAAGCTGAGCAGGAGATAATGAATGAGATGAATGATCTACTAACTTCTGCTTCTTGGGCAAAGTTTCCTCGTCTAGCTTATTGTTTTCAGCACCCCTCTTTGTACTCATTATCTGGTTAAGATTACTTGGACCTTGTTCCAGACACAGTATTGTCTGCGGTCATGGTTAGATAACATTAAGCTAGACAGCTAGTACAGAACTTGAATGCAAAAGTGTAGTTTCATTATTAATCAACATTTATAAATTTTAACAAGCTGATGAAAAGTCAGAACTCAATAATCATAGTTTTTAATGGGATTCAGATAAAAGACAATTCAGAAATCATGAGACTACAGTTAGTGGTTCTCTGTTTTGAAAACATCATGATCTATCATATAAACAAGTGTTTGCACCTGAGCTTTGATACCTTCTATCCAATCACAACAACTAACTAATTCTTCTACAGTGTTTCAAAATTGTACACTTAGGCTCCGTTTGGTACACGGAATTCAAACTATGGCATTGGAATTGGGGGCAACAATTCCAATTCTGTTGTTTGGTAGCACAATAATGTGTGGATTTGGAATTGGTAGTACCAAAAATGAATTGGAATTGTAGAACTCAATTCCATCCAAATTAATTCCATAGAATTTCAACTCCCAATTCAATTCTAATTCCGTCAATTCCATGTACCAAACGGACCCTTAGAAACATTCTCTAAAACTCCAACCTCTCAAAACCTGAGTTTATGTATATGCATAATAAGTAAGGTATTGCAAATGATTGTCTAGAAATGGGTTACCAAAAGACAGTAGAAGCTTCTGTTTCAAAGTTCGGTGAAACTATTACAAAATGAACCGCAAATGAATTTAAGCTTGTCAAAAGCAATAATCTAACAAATACACACATATGTCAGCCAACGTGGTATTTGAGAAGAAACCCCTTGAACCCAACACTAGGAGCTGTCAGTTTTTCATTAATGACCTAACATAACCTTTTTTTAAGGAATAACCATTTTAAAATGCCCGTTTGAGAAACAAACATTCTGATCCTACTCAAACACTATTTATTATCATTGGGATTGTCTGCACGGGTCCAGGAGTGGCACAGAAAATTTTTAAGGAAAAAAAATGATAAAAAAGTAATAAATTTCATCTCCTCCAGGCATTCAAATAATTAAAATGAAAAAGTCCCAAAAAAATATAACTTCACGTTCACATTCTATTCTTGTAATTTTAAAATGTTTCACTTTTTGAAATTCAATAATGAATTTGTCCATGACTATATTTTCTAATATAACAATAAAATCACATTATTATAAATTATAATCCAACAAATAACCAAAAAAACAGGGGTATCGGATCTGAGCCAGGCCAGCCAAATCAACCAAAATTCCACAATCAATTGCAAGATTAACACAAACAAGATCCTAATCTACGAATTAACGCTAACTATAGATATTCGGGCAACGAATCACCTCAAATTTGACGAAGAAAACTTGAATCTGAGAAAGGAGAAATCACCGCTGCTCGACCCGTCACCGTCGTTGTTCCTGTCGGAAACCTCGCGTGCACCGTCGGATAAGGGGAGATGGCGTCGCCGGCGCTTCCCTCGTCGGCTACCTCGAGCTCGCGCACGCCGGCGGAAAGGGAGGGAGGTGACAGTCGCCGCTGCAAGCTATTGTTCGGTCGACCGCTGCGCGACGGAGAAGAGGGAACGGCGGCTGTCGGAAACGAAGCTTGGCGATGCTCCCGGCGACGTGCGGCTACTGGTTGACGGCGACGAGCAGGGACGGCTATCAGAGGAAACGGACACCGAGCAGAGGAAAGATCGACGGGAAGAGAGAGAGAGAGCGTGAGTCATAACTCATAACTTAATATCCACAAATAAACTATACAGTCAAACTTTATTCACTCCTATTTTCGTCTCCTATTTGATAGGAGTAAAATAATATAGTCATGCCACCTCTAGTTTTATAGATCTTTTGATATAGTTTTTAATATGTAATTTTTATTTTTCAATTCTACACCATTCTTCATATAAGATGATTTGAAAATAACTTCAGTCAAACATCGTAACGCGTAATGTAAAGTTTATTTGTGGACAGAGGGAGTATAAAATTGTCGTGGGATGAAGGATGGCAATTCTACCATAATCCTACTTTTACCGACCCTACCGGAGCTTGTAATATCTGAATCCGAACCGAAAAATAAAATATCCGAAACCGACCCGAAAAAATTTAACCCGAACCCGACTTTTGTCGGGTCGGGTTTGGATTAGTATATTTGACCGACCCGACCTGTACCCGACCCGACCCGACATGTACCGACTTTTAATAATTTATTAAACCCTAAATTCCTATATTCCATGCATGTATTTTTGATGTACACATTTTTAATGTTTTAAAACTTATTGCATTTTTTGTTTTTCATTTTATAATGGTTTAATCTTGTGTGTCATACATGTGTTATTTTCTTTGTACTCCGTATATTATTATTTGAACTTAATACGGAGTATTTATTTTGTTTAAAGGTCATAATTATTTTTGTTAATATTTTAACTTTATAGTCGTCTTTAAAATTTTTAAGTTTCTTATGTATTTCAATCTTAAAATTTTCATGAATGCTTTTATTAGTATACAAACCCGAATTTAACCATAACCAACCCGACCGAATCTTAAACTGAATCCGAAATGAAAAAATAAATATCTGAAACCGACCCGCCAAAATCAAACCCTTAAGTCGGGTCGGGTTTTTCTATACTCAAACCCGACCCGTTGCCATCCCTATAAATGACCCAGTGTGCTCCGGTGACCCATTCGTAAAATTGACGATTCCTACCCCTCCTAACCCCCGGTAAACCCCCCACCCCACTTACACCAGTTTGTTTGGGGTATCTACAATGCTCCGTTTGTAAAAACGACAGTTTCTACCCCCCTAACTGTAACACCCCAATCCGTATAACCCGGAATTACACGAATTAAGGTGAAACGAGAGTAAAATAAAAATTTCGCTTGACATTTGAAAATGACAATTACTTATAAATATCAAATTTATATACTCTGGATCGCGACCCATTTAAAAATATTTTCAGAGTAATGCGGAAGTACAATAATAATCAAATCATGACACATTTTAAAATCTGATGGTCAAACATTTGCCTGCTATCCTTGCATCTCCTCTGACTCAATGCCCTCCGGGAATGGTTCCATCATTGTCTTCTTGTTACCTACGTGTAGTCAACGAAAAATACAAACTACACGCTCAGCGAAACCACTGAGTGGTACCACGCTAGAATTGTAGAATGATTCACAGACGTATACATATACATATATATACGTCCACAATGTATAATAATATTCATGATATGGCACATTATATCATATGGTCAATTTGATGATTCATGATGATAAATTTTTAATGATAATTACATGATGGCACATTTAATCAATTTGCTTGTGAGGATGATTACATGATACTTATGTAATCAATATACCTGTTCTTGATGATGATTACATGACACCTATGTAATCGATGTACTTGATGATGATAACATGATGCATGATTCTAAGTCGCAAGAACGAGCCTTGAGCTATGAGATTCGCCCATTTGGTACGACGGACTCACGCAGAAATAGGGGTGGTACTCGAAAACCTAAGTACCATGTACGTACACTAAGCCCGGTCGGTGATGTCGGACTGCTAAGTCCCGCACAATCACAGCTATAAGAGACGCAGTTACGCATGATCTCTTACGCATGCATATGTTGTGATATGGCTATAAGAGACGCAATTACGCATGATCTCTTACACATGCACATGTTGTGATATGCTCAATATAAATGATGAAATGAATGACATGATGTGAACAATTTGCAAACAATATGAATATATAATCATGCATTAGTTTATTTGGATCAAACATGATTAAAATATCATTTAAATAAGTTACGGGGCTTGGAACGGTCCACCGTTTGGCAGGACGGTCGACCTTGATCTTCAGCACATCGGATTTGGCGGATCACCGTGACGGTCGACCGTGGTTGACCGGCGGTCGACCGTGGTTGACCGGCGGTCGACCGTTGTTGACTGGCTGCAGATGGCGGTTTTTGGCTGGACGGGCGGCAGTCGACCGTCAGCCTCCGGCGGTCGACCGTTTGGCTGAAAGTCGTGGTCCGTTTTGAAGTTTAATACGACGGTCGACCGTTTGCGTCGACCGTTTGGGTCTGCGAATCTATCTCTTGATATTTTGAGTGTCCAAAAATACTTCTTTAAGTCTTTTAAACACCTTTGATTAATATATACATATTTTAGGGTTGATTTCAAATGTTTATATATACTTATGTATATATATATATATTAACTTTATGATTTTGGTGTATTATGGTCTTAACACAAAGATGACTTATATATGCGTCACATATATATTTTGGAATGATTTCAACAAATGGATTAACATATATGTTCATGTACGCATGTGATGAATGATTCGACAAGTCTAACGCAAAGGTACAGACCTGGAAATCATCGGCCTAAACCTTACGGAGGAGCGGAAGTGGAAACAACATTGAAATTTGCCAACTTTGTCATTTTCGTCACAACTGGATAGCCTGCGGTAATTTGGGCATATCTCCATCGTTTCTTCACGGAATTGCAAACCGTTTGATTCTGTGGATTCCTAAGATGTAAGGCTACAACTTTCTATAGAAAGTATTTTATTTTAACATATGTAAGATAGCGTAAATCAGACCTGAAGTCAAGGGATAGTTGCTGTCCAGGATTTCGGATATGTCGATGAACAACGGTTCCGAGGATTAACCCATTAACATCAATATTCCAACACCGAATCTTCTCTACGATACCTTCCGGATGTCCCTATATAATTGTTAGAGAGTTTATGGTGAGTTCTTGGAATGAAACAATATGAATTTGGTGAAGAAAATGGTCCAACCCGAGGAGCTCGCCACCACTGGCGCAGTCCCGGTATTTTGGCCATATCTTATTCGTTACTTAATGAAATCGCAAGCCGTTTGTTGGGCTGGAATCGTATCGTCCGGGGCTACAACTTTGGTTCGGAAAGTATTTCGAGATAATGGATGGAAAATTACAGAACTTACGTAGAAGTTGATGCTGCGTTTGGAACTCATGATTTGGAAACTATGGATGGTTTTCTTGCTTCTTCTTCTTCTTCTTGAACCAACTATGGAGTTGAAGTTTTCTTTTCTTTTCCTTGTTGTTTGGCCGACAGAGAGAGAATGGAGAGGAGAGTGTTGTGTGTGTGAATGATAGGAGAAATGGTGATGGTGATATAGTATAGCTTTTCTTTGTTTATTATATTTTTCTTTTGGTTTTTAGTGTAGGATAGGAAGTTTGGAGTGATTTGTGAAGATTGAGGTGGCTAGTGGAGATCATGTGCTGAATACGTGATTGAGTAGGGATTTTAAAATATTATCCTACTCCGTAACTGATAAACTGACTATAACGGTACGCGCTTTTTCACCCAAACTGCTCCGAATTGAAAATGGATTGTGTTTTTGGAATGAGACTGTCAAAACTAGAATTTTGATATAGTCAAAATATTTTTCTGAGAACTTTTATTTTTTTCAGTGTTCAGGTCTGTCTCAGTCATAAATTGATTTAATAATATGAATGAGATAAAAATATATGAATTAAATCCAAATGATTAATATGATGTTGTCAAGGGTCAAATTTATGATTTCTAATCTTATGAAATCACTTTTGAATTGAGTTTATTTTATGGGTCAAAGTTACAAATTTTAATATTTAAAATTGACATAACTAGAAATCTATAAATCAGATTGGTTCATAAAATGTACTGTTGGATTCGTCTCTTCGAGACATATCCATAAAAATAACTTTTTAACAAAAAGTCATTATTTTGAAAATCCATTTATTTTTGGTCAAACGTATTAATATTTTTTATTGGACATAATTTACTTTTGTTTTATAATAAATTTTAGGCTATATTTTGTGGCGTTACACTAACTTTCCCCTAAACCCTCCACCCAAGCCCACACTTGCCCCCACCCCAACCCTCCTCCCTACCGTGGCAGTATACTGTCACAGTAGGGAGGGTGGTGGGAGGGGGGCTAGGGTGGGGGTTTAGGGGGAGGGTTTGGGGGTAGGAACTGTCGTTTTTACAAATGAAGCACGGTAGGTATCCTAAACGAACTGATGTAAGTAACAGGTGTATAAGTAATTGGTGTTTTACATCACCTTATATATAAAATCTATAGTTTACTCCGTATTTAATTATGTGTAAAATGTGTGGATCCGTTTCCACCGATGCCTCACTTCACTGTCAATCCTCAGTTGATTTTGTTGTGATTTTCGTTTTACAAGTGCAATGGAGAGCGATAACGCGCCGCCGAACCCGGCTGCGAATCAGCTGCCAGGGGCAGATTCGTTGCCGGACGGATTTGTGGATAGCTCCACCGACGGCTCATATGCTCCAATGTCACCCAGGATAGCGTCGCTACACGCACCGGAGTTGACAGATTATAAGGAGGATACGCTACTGGAGCCCGAATTGAGGCCAGGCGTGATTGTCAATCATATACATTTTGATGCACCTTCTGATAGTGTGCTTAGAGATGCGGACGATGAAGTTGGAGTGGAGGTACAAGGCAGCCCCGAGAATTGTAAGTTTTCTATTACTCTGTAATTGTTAGATGGATAAGTCACTAGTGGATTGGAATGTTAATTAGTTCAATTTATTGTGTTTGATACATTATGTAAATTATTTTATGAATCATTACAGATTTGGAAATGTCTAAAAGGTTTCAAAATTGAATATTTCTGTTCGTAGTTTTCAAGCATTACCTAATGTGCCACTTTACAGATACTGGGGAAAGTGAGAAATTGGCTTGCATTAATTTCCTTGTAAAATGTGTCTATTCGTTTTTAGGGGAGAAAGCACGGGCACGCACACTATGCAGCTACCACTAAATTAGGAGCATTAGAGATCTTCCACTGTTTGAAAGTTCTGGAGAAACCTTTTTAGTCATTTGATAATGAGTTTTGGTCAATTCTTTTGGTTTTTGAATTCGGTAGGCGCAAGATATGGTTAATGTGAGTTCCACCTTTAGTAGTGTAATTGCAGGTACCAAACAGATCTCGTAAGTTAGTTGCTGGCATATGCAGGAGCAATAACTAATATGCCTTTATCCCTGTTTATATTGCAACATGATTTCTATTCATATGTTAGCTGTTGGCATTCACATGAACAATGAAAAATATGCCTTTATCTCTATTTATATATATGCAGCATGATTTTCAATTTTTTGTATATATTTGCATTTAGTAGATCTGCAGTTTTTTTTTCATGTTTTGTTGAGCTGTATTCGTGTAAGGTGTGATTATTAGGATGGAGAATCTGTAGGGGATGGAACTCATGGAAGGTTTCTAATTTTCCATCCCTCACGATTTGGGGGGAGATTTAAAGAGAGTTCTCATGGAGTTAATTCTCTTTCATGATATTTGACATTGCTAGAAAAGCCTAGAATGCTTAAAAAAATATTAGCTTTTCATTCTCCTTACCAAAGTTATGAACAAAAGCAACCCAATGATTAACAATCTATCCTTTCCACTTCCCATCCACCACTTTTAAGAAACATGGGAAGAAAGGTGATGCTAGACAATCAAATGTCATCACCCTTCTCGAATTCTCGTTAGAGGAATTAGCTTGAGAGAAAGGCTTTAGTGAAATAGTAACATATTAACTTGACACTTATTACACTATCTGCACCCCTCCCCTCTCTATTTGCTTCTGAAAAAAATGTAGAATGCCTTGATAAGCCAGTTTTCTTTCCTTTACCTGGAAAGAGAGTACAGAATGACTTAGAAGTTAGTTATGATTGGAAACTGGAAAGTTTGCTTAGCTAACAGCCTACCAAATACTCTGTAAATGAGGACAACTGTTTACTCATCAATAGTGGAGGGAAAAAGATGGCCCTGCTCAATGTTTCCTCCTACCATTTTCCACCCTAAGTCCGTACTCCTTTTGGAATTCATTATCTTCTATAGATGTATCACATTTTGTAAACTTTTAACATGAGTTTGCTGGTTTTAACAACAATATGTTTGCAGCTATCCAAAATCAGCAGGCACCCACGAAGAAGGAGACACTGCCACAAGAGAGCTCTGAGCACCGAAAAATAGTCAGTGGAATAGTGGATTGTTTATGTATTTCCTCTAATGTGCATTAATATCTCCTATATATATTTCATCATTCCCTTTTATTTGCTCTCATGAATACTGCCTTCTTCTAATATCTTGAAACAAACAGTTTCTATTCCTGTTTTCTACTGCATAAAAGCAGTAACTCAAGTGATAGACTCATGCGCCTGTCTCTAAGTTTCTCAATGTTTAGTATAATGTTTATTGCAAATACTTCCAATGCAATCTTATCACATATTCGCTGGATTTCTGATATATCTAAGCAAGTCTGCAAAGAAAAGTTGAATACTTTTTATTAAGATCCTGTCATGGGTGGAGACATAACTGGCAGTTGCGGTATTGATGAATTACTGGTCAAGGTATTAATAAAGTAAGCATTCAGAGCATTCATGGAAAGTGATATAAACTAGAGAGCTTGAGGCCTCAAAGCATTAATAAACCAAGAAGATAGACTTCAGGTTTAAAAAAGCAAGTTTATAAAGCTCTCCTCTAAGAGCTACCATTGATGGCCTTCTAATGGGGGTACATGTAGTTTTATAGAAACATATGATAGGTGGCAGTGTGGCACATAAGCCATAGTTGTCTGCAGTCTCATACAATAAGTGTGCCAGTAATCTGATACCGCACTGCTCTAGTTCTTAGAAATACCTGAAGCTCGCAAAAAATCACGATTAGTTTTTGGTAGTACTCACTTTTTTTAATACTTAAATCACTTTATACTACTTCCCTTCTTTTTTTATGAATCTCATGTTAGTATTTCAAAATAGTTTATGTATTTATTGAGCTCTAAAGTACCAATTTCTACAATTGATATCATAGGAAGCCTCTGAAGGAAAACGGAAGAACGCAAAACGTGGATTTAAATCAGAGAAGGAATTTTTGGAGTTCACTTTAAGATATCAACAAGTTCTTACTGAAAGAGATTCAGGTAGCTTGCTATGACTTGTTACATAATGTACACGTTGCTGGAATTATTCATTTTTGTGAGATATAAGCAATTTCTACTCAAAAGCACAATCTCTGGTTTTTTACATGGCCTGACTGATGATAGGTTGCTTGACCTATTCATTTACTGTTTTTGCTTAATTTATTTACCTTCTTTTGCCTGACCTGATTTTTCTAAGTCTGTGTTGTTAATAACTAATCCCTAGTCCCTCCATCACATAGTTTTCTCCATCCTCTGACTTGATACACGTATTAAAAACAAAAATGTGTGACTGAGTTCTATTTATATAGATGTGAAACAATATCAACGTTGCAATTTGTTCATAAAAGGAAGTTGGAAGAAATTTGAGGCATCCCAAAACGGGAAACGCAAAGAAAATAATGGGATGAAGGTAATAAAATGGAATGTGTACGTGGACATGTATTAGTTCGTTAATTGTTAATATAAAACTAACTAGATTAAAATGTCTTAAATTACTAACAAAATATTCCATCCGTGTGCATCTATGATGAACAAATTTGTAACCCCTACCACTTAGTTCAAAACTTCAAATTCAATTCTGCTGTATGTAACTATGTACCCATACATGGTTTGTTTACAAATCATGGACACTCTACTGGTCATTCTCTCCCTAACATTGCTCCAAAGTAGTATCTTTACATAGTAGTAATTTCTTAAAGTTTGGTCACACGTGCACAACAACAACTACCCAGTAGCGAACGTAGGGTTTGGGGAGGGTGTATGTACCTTACCCCTACTCAAAAGTAGATAGGTTGTTTCCAAGTGGTCACACATGCACACCATTCACAAAATGAAAAAATAATAATGATGAGAAACTCTTATTGCTTTCAAAAAGAAAAAAGAAACCCTTATTACTTGGCAGGGAGCCAGGGAGTTAGAACCCTTTGTTTTGTATTTTGATGAGCACTTTATTTCTGGGGCATGTGTTTTAGTGCAAAACTCTATATAAGAGATTTGAAATGTATAATACAAGTACATTGAAGTTTATGACTTCCTATTTTATCGAGATTCAGATAATTTGATACTTCTCTTTGTCTTTAGCTTTCTTTTTAATGTTTTACTTTTTCCAGCTATTGCTGTTCGGGATAGACTTGAGTCATTGTGTCGGGAATTGCAACGTCAAAACAAGACACTGATGGTAGGAATAAAATTTTCTCATGCACTCTCCGTTTTTCTCAAACCCGAATTACTACTTCATTTTAGAAAAAGGTGAATTAAAAAGGAAGTGCTAGAACATTTATTTAATACCAAGAAAGGATGTTATGTTTAATGAACTTATACAGGAGGTGCAAGACATGTCAAACACAGGGCACAAGGTACAAAGTCGCTTAGTTGAACAACGAATCTTCAAAGCGACTTCATACCTATATCGTTCAAATCATTTCATCTTTTGGCTACTTATTCTTATTATTCATACAATGAGCAATGAAATGTGGCATTCTCCCTTTACTTTCTAATAATATAATAATTACATGATTGCTTTATCTGAAGTCCTAGTATTCCGATTATATGAACCCTATCAGCAGTTACTCATCTTGACGATTTCATTCATAACATTGCAATGACGAGAGTCCACCCCCCTTGCAATGATCATCAGTGTTGATATATATTCGGTCTAGTTCCTTTGGACAAACTCCAGTGAAAACCATGACAGTTGCTGTTAAGGCTTTTGCAGATCAGCACATTTTCTCTTAAATGTTTCTTTGACATGATCTGTGGCATTATTAAATAGGATGAATGCAAAAGAGTTTCAACCGAAGGTCAAAATTTGAGATTGGACATATCAAACAAATTTCGAGATGCAATCAAGGTTTGGATAATTCTAATCTTGGTGTGAGTGTGTCTTTCTTATTAAATAAGTGCTGCTTCTTGATATTTGGCTTGCAGTAGTTTTTTACCCAAAATTATTTAGGAAGTTGTTTGTATGTATTTACTGTTAAATATTGCACCTATATCATAATTTGTAGATGGATGCTGGAGAATGACACAATGGAATTGACATATAAAATTCTTAAATGCCACTAGTAGATAGCATGTAACTGGACAAATTGAAACGGGAAGTTGCTCTTTAATTTGTAGTATGATGTTCTCACCTGTGTAGAGGTTTTTACACTCCTGCAAGTTGCTTTCTCAATCTTGATGAAGGTGCTATTTCCAAATTTCCATGTCTCAACAACCTCATAACTTGTTTCACGGGATGTTTGGGTGTGGTGGTTTCTTTGAGTGGTTCTGATTGTTTTCACCTTTTCAATGACTCGGTTTATAATACGGAGTAAAACAATTTCTCAAATCACTTCTGCTTTTCTTCCAGTAGCATATCATGTCTTCCAGAGTGAAATATTTTATATGCTAATCGTAAGAGATTTATGATTGCTTATCCTCTTTGCAAGCTCTTTGTTTTGGTCTTCTGTGAATCCGGATGTGAAGTGGCTTTATCGTCTTACTATCTACTAATGTCATTAAGTTATGTGAGCTGGCGTTTTTTATGTTTGATCATCTTAATGTTTCAAACTTGTATATCCATAGGCAACGAAGTGTTCGTGTTTCCTCTGTAGTTGCTATGGCTGTGTGTCTATAGAGATGTGATCTTTAAGGGAAAAAACAAACAAAAAAAAGATGATAATATATTCAGTTTCCATGTCACTGTCTGTGACCTTTGATTCAGGATCGATGTGTGCTTATTTTTAGGAAGTAAGCAACAAGATGGAAGAGCAAAAGGATGAATGTCTATCACAGTTGAAGGAGAATGAGACGTAAGATTTTCGGGATTACTGATTTCACTTGTTTCCATTTTTAAAAAAATTTGTGTTAATGTACATGGGTTACCAAGCCTCTTGGGTCACGTTAGCACAAAAAATGGAGGTCAAGTGTCATGTGTCTACAACTTAGCCTGGTTGTATATTTAAATAGCTATCCCTTCTCATTCTCAAAATTCCCTTCTAAACCTCGTGTCTCATCCGATTTTCCTTCCCTAATTAAAATAGGAATTGCCTATAAATAAAACCATGGATGACAATACTGATACTATACTCATTTGCCATGCTCAAAACTATTATGTGAAAGTGGTGTGATAGTTTCCACTTTCCAGTGTTAGCCTTGCTGATTTTGCAATGATTTGCTAAGTATTTAAACTGCAGGTTAAAGTGCAAATTGAAACAAGTTGCGGAGCAGTATGCTGTAGCTGAGGAGCAATTCAATCTTAAGGTCCTCCCTATTTACCTGTATTACTTAAAGCTTTTGGATATAATATAAGTATTTATTTTTTGTGCGGGCTTTGGCTTAATCATGTCCTTCATGCATGCAGTTGAAGCAGAAGGATCTTGAACTCCAGATAGCTGATTTAAAAATCAAGCAACATGAAGAGAAAATATTGCAAGAAGAATCCAAGATGAAAATGTATGCAGAACAAGTCTCTGAATTATTGGCTACTGAAAAGAATTTGAGAGTTCAGTTAACAGCTGATGGTGAAAAGTTCCAGCAATTTCAGGTAAGCGTGGCAACCATAGGACCAAATGTTGCCCCAATTAGTCACGTATACCTCACGTTAATGTAGCTTAGGGCCTATAGTGATTTTATAGCTTATATTATATTATATTATATTTTACAGGAAGCATTGTCAAAGAGCAATGACGTATTTGAAGGCTTTAAGGTAGAAGTTCACAAGGTAAAGTTGTTTCCTTTATTTACCTTATCAAACTGGTGAGTTGAGAAGGGGTCCTGCTGAAAATTTTAAGCTGGTGAGTTAAAGTGCATAAAGAGAGGTAATCATGTTTTTATTTGTTTTCACTAATGTAGATGTCCAAATCTATAAAAGAGCTCAGAAAGGAGAATGCTCTCTTGAAGAGCAAATGTGAGAATTCAGATATTGCTCTCGTAAAGCTGGCTGAAGAGGTAAAGTTTTGCTACTGGAACTTGCATTGTTTCTTTTTTCCTTGCACTATGTCTGGACAGTTTGGTTCAAGGAATTGAGAAGGGAAAAGAAAATGAAATTACACAGGAAAAAATTTGGTGTTTGCGTAGAAAGGAAAATAAATGAAAATTGGAAGAAAAAAAAAGGGAAGGAAAATGTAATGTAAAATTGTACATGTGAATTTCCTTTCATTTTGTGAGGAAAAAGAGAGAAAACTACAAACTCCACCCGCCTCCCCTTTCCCCTCCATCGTCCCCCACCCCCACCCCCACTGCCCTGGCACCCACCCAGTCACCCATCCTCATGCCCTCCCCCGCACCCACCAACCCCCATGCCCTCTCCTGGCCCACCCCGCCCTTCCTATCTTTAAACAATGCCTTTTTTCCCCTAAAAACTGTAGCCAATCGGTGAAGAGAGAATGGGCGCCGGTCGCCGGAGTAGGCAAGGGGGTTGGTGTTAAGGGGGTAGGAAGACTAGGAACCATCAATTTTTCGAACTGAGCACAATAGGAGCTCCGGGTCATCCTATGACATTGGTAACCAATGTCATGGGAACCAATCCGATGAAGAATAATGATACTTGCCGTGTTAGTGTAAGAAGATGCAGAACCTAACTTGCAGTTGTGTTGTTGGAAACAGCGAGAGCACATGAAGAAGCAACTAGAGAGAACGCGGAACCAGAAGGAGAAACTTGAGTCATTGTGCCGCTCACTTCAAGCCGAGCGTAAGGCCAGTTCCACTGCAATTGGCAGTGGCTCCGATTCAGTCCTGGCTTGAAAATTATCAACTCCGATGACAACTGAAAATCAAATGGTTAGATTGTTTTGTGGCTAATGGATATATATATGGCACCTGTGTTTGTAATGCATCTATTTTACTCACCTTCTCCCTCACATTATCATATTTTTCAAGGCATTTGTGCATTGCTCATATGCATTTTGACTGTTTACATAAAAGGTTAATTGCATCAAACTTATTTTAAAATCTAAAATAAACTTATGTTTGAACACAAAAAAAACCCTTCTCAGTTCTCATGCCTTGCAATTTCTCACTGCGCCATTCTTGTTTTAAATGACCCCATCTATTTCTTTCAAAATTTGGGTTTTGTTTGAAAAGCGATCACTGGAATATATGGTCCGAAAAATCGTTTAACCTTGGCTTAGATCTCCTCCCTCTTCACTTCTTCGCCTTTCTTTTCTCTGTTCCCACGTTTAATTGCCTCAAGATTCACAGCCCAAAAGCCAATTTCAAACTTTCCACCCGATTCTCAAGAAAATCTTACTCCCTCTGTCTCTCAGTTTTTGTCCACTTTGGTTTTGGCACAAAAACCAAGGTGGAGAGCAAAGTGACCTATCTACCCCTTGAGTTCCCCTTCCCAATCAATTCCCCCGCTACCCCAACATCGCCTATCCAATCCCTCCGCCGCCCAAACCTTGCCGTCTGATTCCCTTAATGGCTTCAACCTCGTCAGGCCCATTGCCTGACACTCCAACACCAATCCAGATCTATCGTGCTTAGTCTTCTTCATTTCTTTATAAACCAGATTCGAAGAAAAATCAGAAGAGGAAAGAGGTATCCAGCCATGGAAGACATCTAACGAGCTCAAGGCGTCATCGGAGCAAACATCCTGCTCTGGCTCAGAGAAGAGATTCATTCATCTGTCCGCTTCGATTCTGGGGCGGCGCTTGACAAGGTGAGAGAGAGAGAGAGACGGGAGGGGAAGCTCCTCCATAACATCAAATTCCACCTTTATTTGGGATGGCACTGGCAGGGACAATCATCTGATTCCCATCTGGGATTATCACTGATGCGGCTAGAGAAATAAGAGGGGGTAAAATAGGTTTTTTTTATCTCATTTATGTTTCTTTTAAAGGAAAATGGATAAATACTCCGGGACAGTCCAAAGAGGAATACTGGACAAATACTGGGGGACGGAGGGAGTACTATTTTCTTGAACAAATCTTTTGCCTCACTGACTCAATTAGTGTGCCTTACTTTACTCTAGTTGTAAATGTTTTAAAATTTGGGTTCAAAAGTGGCTTACTTTTAATGCTTTTAAATTTAACACATCAAAAACTTCATTATTGACCTCTTATATGCCCATACATACCCATCTGCATATGTTTGCATTGCATATGTGTGCATTAGTTGAACTATTGGCAGGCATCATTATCTTCCATGTATGCTTTGACCTTTCAAAATACCCTCTTATGCTTTCCTCTTCTTCTTTGAATATTTCTGCTCAAACTGTTTCTAAGATTTAAGAAAAAAAATCATCTTTTAAACCTTTTGGTTGATACACTTGTATGATTTTGTCAAACTACCTTTCTTGATTTTGTTCTTCACTACAATTGCTACAAACTTTTATTTCATGAAATATTTTTGAATGCATTCTTCGGGCTGATTTTACTACCCTACAATTTAAGTATTTGCAAAGATTATTAAAGAATATTACGTATGGTTTTTGCCAGTATTGTCATCCTTACCTTAAAAAAAGATCTAAAAAACCAAATAAAATGACATTATTGTTGGGATACTTTTAAAGAAACAAAAGAACCCAGTAGTACAATTTGATTAATGCAAAAATATTACCTCTTAAATTTGATACGCTGGGGTGCTCCTGTTGTGAAAGACATTGCAATGGTTTTGTAGTTTATTTATATTACGGGAAGTAGTTGGTTGGCATTTAATCAACAGTCTTGAATCAAGTTAAGTATTCATAGTAATAATGATAAAAGATTTGCAAAATCTTTACTTTTTCTATTTAAATACTCCATCTGTCCTTGAGTGTTTTTCCACTTTCATTTTTGCACACCATCCAATGCACTTCTTAAATCCATTTTATCTTGTAATTTGTATTTAAAAAAATTATAAAAATTATATATTAATAATCTATATGTTAAGACGAATCAAACAAGATCACATATGACTATTTTTAGGCTTACACATTAAGAGAATTTGATGAGTCAAAGTGCTTAGATGAACAGTTCCAAAAGTCAAAAGTGGACAAACACTCAGGGACGGACCAAGTAGTACATTAAGTGAAAAAAAAGTGATTTGGAAGATCTTCACTTTTATCGTAGCAAAAAAAGAGATAAGCATGCTGATTTGACATCTACTTTTTTGTGGTGTGCAACTCAATAAAAGATTTTGACTTTTCATACATTTTGTGATTGATGCTGCACAAATAGGCATCATAGGCCTCATTTTCCAGCCAAGTACTTTAAAGATTTTTTCAATCTTAAAATTTAATTTTAAATTAGGGGTGGGGTTCTCATGACATTGGGTTTCAATGTCATGGGATGACCCGGGGGTGCTCCGGTGTCCCGTTCGTAAAATTGACGGTTCCTACCCCCCTGGTAAACCCCCCACCCCGGCCCCGACCCGAACACGCCCCCCTACCCCCGTCAATTGCACCCCACAAGTTGATTTTGACTTTGGAGTCAAATTTTGACTCCAAAGTCAAAATCAACTTGTGGAGTGCAATTGACGGGGGTAGGGGGGCGTGTTCGGGTCGGGGCCGAGGTGGGGGTTTACCGGGGGGGTTAGGGGAGGTAGGAACCGTCAATTTTACGAACGGGGCACCGGAGCACCCCCGGGTCATCCCATGACATTGAAACCCAATGTCATGAGAACATTGGTGTTAAATTAGACATAAAGTATTAAGACCTTAAAAGAAAAGAAGAGAATGCTTTAAAAAATACTGTGCAGGCCCAGATCTAGTCAGCTAAAGTCCTCAAAACCAAGAAAAGAAGCCCAGCAGCCCATTTTCAGTGACCCGGCCCAAATAATTTAGGCTGGAACACAAATGTAGGAGGATTCCTTCACGGTCTTCAACAACAGATCTGGGCGGCAGCACAATCTAGATGGCGACGGCAATCTGCACAGCCTCGCGACTAAATAGACACAGAAGGCCGGCGAATCGACAGACGTCGGATGCCCCTTCTTGACTCTGCTCTTGGGTGCGGCGGCTTGCTCTGACCTGATCTGTGGCTGCGCACGAGTAACAACTCCAGATGGCGGTGGCGATCTGGAAGCTCGACGCGACGGTGACTCTCCTTCGCTCCTTAGGATCTCCTCTGCTGCGGCACTTGGTTTAGATTTGTTGAAGTTTGAAGCGGAGGAGGACAGGAGGATAATTAGGGTTGGGGAGAATTATTGATGCCGCCGGAGCCGTCCCCTTGGGATCGGAAGGACTTCTTCAGGGAGAGGAAGCACGAGCAGTCGGAATTTATCGGTGGAGGAGGAGGCGGAGGACCTGGTGGTTCTGGAGGCGGGACCAGATGGAGGGAGCATCCAGGGAATAACCACCACTACAGCTCGTCCTCTCGCTGGGCAGCTAGATTTCCTCCTGGTGAGTTCATTTTCGTTGCCTGTCTTGTTTATACGTTTCTTTTCGGAGGAGATGCGGTTTCGCCTTAATCTATAAAGCATGTTTAGTTTCCTAAGGTGATTAATGCATTGAATTGTCATCTATAAAGCGTGTTTAGTTTCCTCATGAAGTATTGCTATTCTTATAAGTTATAATGGTTCATATTTGACTTTCAAACAAAAGGGCCATTAAAGGATCCACATGTTTTTTCTTGTCAAAGGATAACCTTTGTAAACTTGTAGTTATGCATACATGTACATTAAATTTTTGATAAAAAAAATCCATACTCTATCCATTGTCAATTTGTTGAGTTTGACATAATCTAATTATCTACTCTTTGTGCTTTCAATTACTATTCATATGCTAAACTAACACTTTTTATTTCTCTGATTTCTTCTTTTTATAATTTAAATTTTATATGTTCAATTCAATCTCTAGTTTAGTTTATATATCTTATTTTTCACATATCTCCGAAGTACAAAATAAAATGTTACAAAGAAAGGTTACAGAGTAGTACTAAAACTGTAGTTTGAAGTCTTTTTAAATTTTATATTTTTACTTCCTCTGTTTAAATTTTCCTTTTTGAACCTAAATTTATGCACTTAATGTCTATTTCTTCCGGCCACGATGATCGGATAAGTGAGCTCCACCTCTCTATTTTTTTCTCCTGGAATATAATGAAAAAGATTCGTCTTTGTTTACCATAATCTATCTCTTTTGACTCGGTATAGAGCAATGAAAGAGAGATGAAGTGGTCCATTGTGCTCGTCGGAATCCACGTTGGTCTCGTCAGAATTGTCTAGGTTAAAGCCCAGGGTGGCGGCACCCAAAAACTGGTTTCGATCTGAATCCACATCTTGCCCGTAGAAATACATGGCAAGCGTCCTGTAGCCTAAAAGCAATGGCTAGTGTTTCCAAGCATCCCCACAAAGCAATGGCTAGTGTTTCCAAGCATCCCCACAACTGTTCTGAGAAGATGTGAGGGGAAGAGGAGTAAGAATTGCATGCGAGGGAAGCCTTAGAGAAAGTGAGATGAATATTACTCTGTAATTATTGTAAACATGCAGACAAAATACAACTGGTTTGAAGGCCACTTTACTGGCCTGGATTCTCTATATTGCATCCCACCTATGTTTTGGTGCAACTGTTTTGGCAGGGATTTTGATTGGGCAATCTCTTAATTTTTTGCATTACTTTCTCACTCATCCTTTATATATAGTAGATAACTTATTCTAAAAAGTTTTCTTTCAGTTAAAAGGAATCTTTCTCTTAGAAAATATTCCATTTCCGTCAAGGAACTGAACAGACTCCTTATTAATAGGAAAAAGGGAGGTATGGTTCGTTTATTTTAAATTTAATATAAGTTTATCCATTAAGTTTAATCATTGTGATTGCATTTCTTTCAATTTTGAGACACAATGCAATCATTTTCTCACACAATTGTTGTTTTAATATCTTTTACAGAAGGCTATTGGAATGAAAGAATTAGCACAGTTTGGTGGTTGTGTTTGGCATCGTGGGCAAAAGGTTTTTATATTGTTACTTCACAATCCTTTTACATTTTTGTATCATCTTCCTAATATCTTATACCATGATAGAAACTTGTTAGGACTAGTTCGGGATCTAAATTAAAACTAACACTATGTTTGGTTCAAGGAATTGAGGAGGAAAAGAAATTCAAAATCCTTGTTTTGTTGGGTTAGGATGGAAATTGGTGAGCAAAATAGTTTCCCATATTATTTTTGTTTGGTTAGGAGGAAGATGGATGAGAAAACAATTGAAACCCAAATTTGAACACAAAAGCTATATTAAAAACCCTATGTTTATGACCCCAATGTCACTCCACACTATCCATCAATCTCTACACATTACTTTGTTCTTGCGCTTCCTCTTCATCCATCAATCTATAATATAAACAAAAATAATTATTTCACCACAGCTTTTAAATCCCAAATTAATGCTCAAAGTTTGACTTTGCAAGGAGTTTAAGAAAAGTGTAATTGTATGGTTGAAAGTGAACAAGTGATGCAGTGATGCAGTGGAGAAAAATAGGTGAGCCACAAAAAGCTTTCCAAAAAAAGAAAGTGGAAAATTAATTTGGGACAACCCTAAAAGAAAATAAGGAGGATTAAATTGGGATAGATGGAGTATATTACAGATGGACAATACTTTATATGTTTATATTAAATTATGAATACTTCAACATAATATAACTCCAAATAGATATGAGTCACATCATATGTAGTTAAAGTCTACACATAATTTGTTACAAAGAAAAAAATGTTTACAATCATTTAAAAGATCACAAATAAGCACATAATTCAAATAAAAGTGCATCTCCCTCTTCCTGGTTTAATCACACAAACAGGCAAGCTTAAAAACTATCATTGAATAGCTCATTCAAATGGGTAAGTCAATTTTTATGTTCGGCTTTTCAAAAATTTAAAATGGTGCAAGGGAAGCAGGTGATTAGGCATAAAATGAGGATTAGGTAATGCCTAGGCGTAAGGCGAGGATCAGGTGATGCCTAGGGGAGCGCCTCAACGCCTTTTACAATAGGGAAGTTGGGAATTCTGATATTTATAAAGTTTTGTAACAAACTGGTAAAGTAAAAATTACACATTGACAAGATCTAACCAACAAGGCTAACCTAGGGCTTCGAGACTCCCAAAAATTTGAGTCCTTTTATTTATTTAATTCTGATTTAACTAAAAATGTAACAAACTTATTTAAATAACAGAGAGTAATATAATTAAGCTGGCATTTGTTGTAAGTGATCCAGATCTTATCATACTATTTGTATAGGTCAGTATCATGCAATGTTTGAAAAGGCGGAACCCAAACCCGCCTCAAGGCGCGCAATGAAACTTTTTCTAGAAAATAACGCCCTTGTGCGAATCCCGATTCACGCAATTAGCCATTTTACGCAATTTGCTTAAAGGCTTACGCCATGGGGCGTACGCACTGGGGCGCGCAATGAGGCATACACAATTTAGCGTGTAAAATTTAGGAAATCAAAGGTAAGCCTAATTGAGCGTGTAAAATTTAGTTGTCAATTATCCCAATTAAGTGTATATATTTTAAAAGTACCTTGTCGATGACCTTAATTGCAACCCTAATTGCAACCCTAATTGCTGAGGTTTTCAAGCTGCAATTAATCTCCATCGCGATAGCAGGTGAGGTTCATCTTTTGTGCGTCTTTGTTTTCCGTGTCTAGAGCAGGTACGATTTTTTTTTTCTTTCCCGCAAATGGTATAAGAATGGATAGATGATAGCCGGAGGATTTATAATCTACTATTGACTTATTATCTTGATAAATTTATTTAATTAGTTTTTTTGTTATCATTTTATGAAGTACACGAGCATTCAATTTTCCTTTTTTACGGTTGGAGTTTATAATTGGTGTTTTTTTGTAAAGTAGTTGGATAGTGATGCACTTTTTTTAGTTGTTAATCTCTTTTTTTATTCTTTTTTTTTGATAATTGTCGTGCTAATCTTTTGATCCTAATTTCAAGCTGTTAGACACTGATGAACTTTTTTTCAATTCTTCAATTTAAGCTCATCACTTTGAGCAATATTATGTCTTATTCCATGTTAGACTTTGTTGTGTTTGCCATGTATTACTTTGACAATTTACTTTTTTAATGTTTTTGGATTATTTATGTTATATATTATGTTCTATCTTTAGTTTTAAATTGTTTTGTGGATATTTTTCAATTTAAAAACTGAGGCTTACGCCTCAATACGCCTCGAGGCTTACGCAATACGCCATGAAAAGAAAACGCCTCAAAACCGCAATACGCAATTTCGAACATTGGTATCATGATTGTGCTTATACCATAAATAGTACGGAGTACTCAATAGTTAATAGCTTGATGTTTTGTTCAGGAGAAACAAAGAACAAGATTAAAGCAAAAACTAAGAAAGCTGTCTCGTCATTTATCGCTTGATATGCATGAAATGCTAGAACTTGGAATAGAGCATCCTTCCAAGGTGTGTGCAAAGTCAATTATTTTTTACTAGCGTTTATATAGATTCTTATGTTATAAACAACTAATTTTTGTACGATAGTCTTAGGAAGTGTTGGTTGACCAGCTTTTAGATTTTCTCGAGTACCCTCATCATAACTTTGAGGTATGTCTTCTTTTATTGGCTCATTATAGTTTGTGTTTTGTTGTGCACATGTTATGATGTTATATATGTATATGTCTCTCTCTCTCTCTCTGTTTATATATATATATGTGTGTGTGTGTGTGTGTGTGTGTGTATACACACACACAACAACAGCAACAACCCAGGTGAATCCCACAACAGTAGGGTCGTCGTTGTTGTTGTTGTTGTGTGTATATATATATATATATATAAACAGAGAGAGAGAGAGAGACATATACATATGTAACATGTGCACAACAAAATACAAACTAAAAGGGGTTATATTGAAAATAAAAGAGAAGAAATAACATACTGGATCCCAACAAAGGACCAAGAAGGAAAGCAAATAAAAAACCAAAACTAACATACACTATGACAAATGTACATTCCAAGGCAAAATTCAATTGAAAAAAGTTGCTATAGTTTAAAGGCAAAGTTGTCTTAGACTCATTGTCCTTGTTGTTTTCATGAGTCATAATAGTCTCATAACAAATGTAAATAAATAAAAAAATCTTCATGGGATATTTTATTTTCATTAACCATTTCATTGCTCCAAGGTTTGATGAATTTAAAACATGATATATGATAAAATTAAAATCTCTAGCAGAGAAATTCATTTATTATTAATAAACGAAATAGTTTAGCACAAATCTAAAATTCACAATCACGTAAGTGTTCCAAAAATTGGAATTATAACATTTGTATAATAAATCGCTTAAAAGAGTTACTCAAATTTAAACACAAGGGTTGAATCCCGGAGTTGGAACAGATGTCATGAACTCGGCCAACTTCTTTGTTGTTGAGCTAGCTCCCTTAATGGTCCCAGTAGATATTGTATTGGCCGGGGCTGGAATTTGAGAGCTAAACATAGTTATGAAAGGCGAGTGGCGGGCAAGAGGACCTTTTTTGTGGCGAGTGGCGTGGCGAGTGGCGGACGGTCAAATGGCGAACAAAAAAAAGCGAGTATGTATGCGCACACACATATATATATATGTGTGTGTGTGTGCATACACACACACACACACACACACACACACACAAATTGTGCATGGCATATCATAAAGTTTTAAACAATATATAAATCTCAAAGGAAAACAAAAACAATAAGTTGCTAAGTTAAATTCGAAGAATAAAACATAAATTATTTTTCCATATTTATCATATACTCGATAATACAAAAGTTAAAAATATAATACAAAAATTTAAAATAAAAGTATAAAACACAAATTAAAAAAGCTAATAAGAATTGAAAAGTGACCTAGTTGACTGCCGACACCACTTGGAAGAAATTGACTGAGAAATAGCCGCTGGAAGCTGCGACCTGCTGCTGTGATAGAAGACTGGGAGCAGATTCGCAGCTGAATCGAGTGGAAGAGATGATCGAGTTATGACTGGAAGCCTGGAACAACGATCAGGTTACGGGAAGAGGTAATTGCAGATCTTTAATTAGAAACGGGCTCAAGCCCAATTTAATTGCTCCTTTGGATGAAGTTTGGACACTGAAAATATTGACCAACAACTTAATTGCGTCAATTGCGAATGCCATACGCCATAATTAGCATAAAAAATGGCGATCGCCATTCCTTGCCTCAAGGACATCGCCATGCACAGCCCAATCCAGGCGCTATAGCCTCGCCACGGCGCCATAAACGCCATAGGCGATCAAGGCGCTCGCCTTTCATAACTATGGGGCTAAAGGATGCTCTTTTTTATTTTTCCCCTCCAACCACGGGCAACTTGATAGGCCTCACTGCAATATTAGTCTACACAGTAGAAATATATGGAGTATTTAGTTACATTATTTTTAGAATGAAAAATATTATGGAGTAATAAAGAGGGTTTAGTTTGAATGTATATATGAGTTTATATAGATATAACCTGGATCTCAGAAAATTCTAGTGGCTGATTGAAATCAATAATCGCAGATGCAACAAATAGGAATGGTAGGGCAGTGGGTGCAGATTGAGCTTGTTGTGTGCGTGCGTATCTTTCTTTAATGGACATCCTCTACTATTTTGTCCATGTTCTCCACAATATAAACAAGTAATGATTGTATAACGCCTCTTTAATTTTGTCTTCCACCCAACTGGCTCTTCATTATTGTCCTTTTTCCATTTTTTTGGGCCGGCCTGGTTTCTGCCTAATTGGAGGGTGGTTCCTGGGGCCTTTTACGCATAGCTCCGGTCGTTGCAATGGGTCAATAAAGTATTTATATGTTTCATTGTATGATCCCATTGTCAACCATGCATGACAGTAGTCCTCTAGTTTTCTTTACATCTTATCTTGAATAGCAACAATGGCATGGGGGCATGGCATATCTAATGCAAATAAATCCAAACCATTGTAAATAACTAACGGGAAGTTTCCAAAGCTTGTTATATATGATTGATTCAATTTTGATGCCAAATTTTCTTTTGAACCAATTGAAAACTTTTCCATGCTTTAATGTAGGATGTTTCCTAAGCTTCATAACCAACTTTTCCCTTCCCCATGCTCTATTCGCATCCTTGTTTGTATGTTTTTGAGCATGTGCGGTCATCCACAAACCAGTGTCTTAATCTACCATGCACTACCTGTTTTAATGGATAGAACAAAAAACCAGTGTCTTAATCTACCATGCACTACCTGTTTTAATGGATAGAACAAAGTATAACACACCTTCACTTGGGATCCTTACACTTCGCTCTACACCTATATGAGTCATTATTAGCATACTTAATTTCCCTTCCCCATTGAATGTACAGTCACTAATAGCATCTTTGAATGCTTGTTTAGTACTCTCTCCATCCCCCAGTTTTTGTCCACTTTTGACTTTTGGAACTGTTCATCTAAGCACTTTGACTCATCAAATTCTCTTGTGTAAGCCTAAATATAGTCATGTGTGATCTTGTTTGATTTGTCTTAACATATAGATTATTAATATATAATTTTTATAATTTTTTAATATACAAATTAAAAGATAAAATGGATTAAAGAAGTGCATTGGATGGTGTGTAAAAATGAAAGTGGACAAAAATTGGGGGACAGAGGGACAGAGGGAGTATTAAATTCCATATCCAATTCCAACCTGACATCCCCAAACCTAGCATTGGGATTGAACTCTGGTAAAGTGGACAAAAATTGGGGGACAGAGGGAGTATTAAATTCCATATCCAATTCCAACCTGACATCACCAAACCTAGCATTGGGATTGAACTCAGGTAAATAGGTTCTAAGGAATCTTCCTCAAAATCTAAAGGCATGTCATTGTCTTCGGAGTACCATGAATTACCTTCATCACATGCTCCAGTAAAATCAACGTCTTCTTGGGTCATTGTCTTCATATTTCCATGAATAAGCTGAGCATCGGTTGTATTGCCTTGTTCATGAGTATCATCATTATCTTTTTGAAAACCTAGTAGTGCAGCAGGTGTGTGGTTGGTATGGGGCATATCAAAGAATAAATGAATCACGTTCTCATTCATTCTACATGCTCTACACATATCTAAAAGGTCTTTGTCTAATTTCATAGGTTTCAAGCCAATTTCCATGCTCACTTTAGGAACTAGCCACCAACAACTATCGCATTTGTGGTATCCTAAGTGCTTGTTGTAATACTCTAACTACAAACACATCAAGTGTGTCCTCCTCAACTCCCATCCATATCTTTGTGTTATCAGGTTCATATGTCATTAGTCCACTATCATGAATAATGAACTTTCCTCTGTGGTGAAACACAAGAGTCATTGGAAAATCCATCTACAAAATTAGAAATTAATGTTTGATATCACTTATTATTTCTAAGCTTGAACAGACTAATGCATGTTGTTGTCTAGACTTTATCAAATTGGTTGTATGAAACTAATAACACAAAAAGCCAATCAAACAGAATACAAAGTAATACTTAAATTTGTGGAAAAATCCAATCGAATGAAACTAATTAGAGTAATCACTAAAATATTAAAACTCAGAAAATCCATAAAAAAAATAAAGGGCCACATATAAAGAAAAATAATACTCCGTAATACGTTTCCTTACCTTTGAAATGACGACAACCAAATTTGTCTCTGACGCAGGACGTCGGTATTGTGTTCTTTGGGTCTGGAGAGAATGTGTGGGAGATGTAAAGTTCTGTTCTAGGAAGACGATGAGTCTTACTTAATTGAGTCACTTTAATCTATTGAAAGGCACCACCATTTTTTTTTTTAAAAAATGCCACGTTATTGGCTTGTTATTTTTGAAAAGGTCATGTTATTGCCAAGTCATCCTTATATTACACTGTTGAATGGAAATCATTTGAAGGGATAGATTTGTTTCATATTTTTTACTTACATGGACTAATTTGACTCAATGATACATACATGGACTAAATTGACTAACATGTATACTTACAGGGACCATATTGAGTAGTAAATCGTTTGGTAAATATTCTTAATAGTTTGTTTTGTTTTTTCATAATAGAGTTGATGATCTTACATGGATGCATTAGAAAATGAGAGTATGGGTCAGAAAGAAAGTGATTCAAGTCAGTCAAGTGAATATATTGACGAATATGTGAGAAATGTAGAGTGGCAAATAATCAAGGTATACTTTTTTTAAGTGCCTTTTTTGCCTTGTGATCTTTTTTTCTTATTAATAATACCTAGACACTGTGATGGTGTTACATATTTCTTTGTTATATTTTGTAATTACTTTACTGTTTATACATAGCCGTGTGATCATTTTTAAATGGCAAACAGACAATTCGTTACAAAAATGGTATCAATGTTACGCCTGTGCCTATTCAATTTCTTAATAAGTGTGTGTGTCTTGAGTTGGCTACAAACGATATAGTTGATCAGATTGAAGTGGAAATATGCATGTGTAGTCATATTAGGGAGCATGTCTAAATTTCAAGCTACGCGAGAAGAGATCTCTGAATTTCTCTTGAAGTTAATGAAAGAGAAAGGCCAGAGCATGCCATATATTAAAAATTATGGGGCATGTCTTAGCATTGAGGTATTGCACATGCAATATGTATTGTTGCATTATGTGTTATTTAGTTTTCTTAAACATTATATCATAAACACGATGATTGCTTGCAGTTCATGGCCTTTATGTATCGATCTTTTAGCCAAAATCAATATTTTGTTCTAGATTTTCCAAAGAATGAGTCTCTAGTCAAGGCTCTACAGAAAAAGTTGACGCTTCTTATACAAAAAAATGAAGAGCTAGAGCAATTTGTCATAAGCAGGATGCGGGATCTCGAGGCTGATGATGAGGGTCAGAATGATTCTTTGTTTGTGTGATGAGTTTGCAAAGCACGAAGTTGCANTCTTGAGTTGGCTACAAACGATATAGTTGATCAGATTGAAGTGGAAATATGCATGTGTAGTCATATTAGGGAGCATGTCTAAATTTCAAGCTACGCGAGAAGAGATCTCTGAATTTCTCTTGAAGTTAATGAAAGAGAAAGGCCAGAGCATGCCATATATTAAAAATTATGGGGCATGTCTTAGCATTGAGGTATTGCACATGCAATATGTATTGTTGCATTATGTGTTATTTAGTTTTCTTAAACTGCCATTATATTGTAAATTGTGATATAGTGGATGCCACATTATAACATAAACACGATGATTGCTTACATTTCATGGCCTTTATGTATCGATCTTTTAGCCAAAATCAATATTTTGTTCTAGATTTTCCAAAGAATGAGTCTCTAGTCAAGGCTCCACGGAAAAAGTTGACACTTCTTATACAAAAAAATGAAGAGCTAGAGCAATTTATCATGTGCAGGATGCGGGATCTCAAGGCTGATGATGAGGGTCAGAATGATTCTTTGTTTGTGTGATGAGTTTGCAAAGCACGAAGTTGCATATGGTAGCATATCCAACAATATTAGGATTGCGAGGTTATGTTGTGGCTTTTTGGGAGGAACATTATTAGAATATTGGAGAAGACTAAAATTATCACTGTGAACATGCTGTTAGAACCTAGAATGATAAAAATTAAAGTTTTCAAATTAAGGGAAGTACTCAAGACAGTTTTGTGTTGTAATGTGGAGCTTGTGACATGTATAATATAAGAGAAGAAAAAGAAGAGTCTCGGGATAACGGTGCTGTTGGGACAGATTAAATTTGACTTCGGAATGCAACTATTTAAACTAGAGGATAGAAAAGAAGAATACAAAAATTGTGAGAATTTTGATTAGATTTATATCATTGTTGGAAAAGAAAGAAGGAAAACCTATGAAGAAAATCATATGATTTGAAGTTGCTATAGTTGGAGAGAAGTAATGGTGGGTAATGAAAAGGCCAAAGAGAGGCTAGTGATGTGGAGAAGTGTGACGAAAATGGTAGGTATATTAATAGCCTACCATTACCCACCATTACTTCTCTCTTACAACCGTGGTATCTTCAAAACATAACGTCTTCTCTTCATATGCTTTCCTCTCTTCTTTTCCAACAATGATATAAATTCAATCAAAATTCTCACAATTTTTGTATTCTTCTTTTCTATCCTCTAATTTAAACAGTTGTATTTCAGAGTCAAATGTAATCTGTCTCAACATCGTCTATACGCCGGGACTCTTCTTTTTTTCTCCCTTGTAGTGTGTATGCCACAAGCTCAACATTACAACCCAAAATTGTCTTGAGTGCTTCTCTTAATGCGAAAACTTTGATTTTTATCATTCTAGGTTCTAACAATATGTTAGCGGTGATAATGTTAGTCTTCTCCAATATTTCCAATAACGTTCTTTCAACAAGCCACAACATAACCTCGCAATCCTAACATAGTTGGATATGCTGCCATATGGAACTATGTACTTTGCAAACTTAACACACAAAAAAGATCTTTCTAACTCTCATCATCAGCCTGAGATCCTGCACATGACAAATTGCTCTAGCTCTTCATCTTTTTATATAAGAAGTGTCAATTTTTTCCGTAGAGCCTTGACTAGAGACTAATTCTTAGGGAAATCTAGAACAAATAATTGATTTTGGCTAAAAGATCGATACATAAAGGCCATGAAATGCAAGCAATCGTCGCGTTTATGTTATAATGTGGCATCCACTACATCACAATTTACAGTATAATGTCAGTTTAAGAAAACTAAATAACACATAATGCAACAATACATATTGCATGTGCAATACCTCAATGCTAAGACATGCCCCATAATTTTTAATATATGGCATGCTCTGGCCTTTCTCTTTCATTAACTTCAAGAGAAATTCAGAGATCTCTTCTCGCGTAGCTTGAAATTTAGACATGCTCCCTAATATGACTACACATGCATATTTCCACTTCAATCTGATCAACTATATCGTTTGTAGCCAACTCAAGANTATAATGTCAGTTTAAGAAAACTAAATAACACATAATGCAACAATACATATTGCATGTGCAATACCTCAATGCTAAGACATGCCCCATAATTTTTAATATATGGCATGCTCTGGCCTTTCTCTTTCATTAACTTCAAGAGAAATTCAGAGATCTCTTCTCGCGTAGCTTGAAATTTAGACATGCTCCCTAATATGACTACACATGCATATTTCCACTTCAATCTGATCAACTATATCGTTTGTAGCCAACTCAAGACACACACTTATTAGGAAATTGAATAGGGACAGGCGTAGCATTGATACCGTTTTTGTAACGAGTTGTCTGTTTGCCATTTAAAAATGATCACACGGCTATGTATAAACAGTAAAGTAATTACAGAATATAACAAAGAAATATGTAGCACCATCACAGTGTTTAGGTATATATTTACAAGAAAAAAAGATCATAAGGCAGAAAAGGCAATTAAAAAAGTATACCTTGATTATTTGCCACTCTGCATTTCTCACATATTCGTCAATATATTCACTTGACTGACTTGAATAACTTTCTTTCTGACCCATACTCTCATTTTCTAATGCATCCATGTAAGACCATCGACTCTGATATGAAAAAACAGAACAAACTATTAAGAATATTTAACAAACGAGTTACTACTCAATATGGTCCCTGTAAGTATACATGTTAGTCAATTTAGTCCATGTATGTATCATTGAGTCAAATTAGTCCATGTAAGTAAAAATATATGAAACAAATCTATCCCTTCAAATGATTTCCATTCAACAGTGTTATATAAGGATGACTTGGCAATAACGTGGCATTTTAAAAAAAAATGGTGGTGCCCTTCAATAGATAAAAGTGACTCAATTAAGTAAGACTCATCGTCTTCTACACAAACACTGGAACTGAACTTTACATCTCCCACCCATTCTCTCCGGAACCAAAGAACACAATACCGGTGTCTTGCGTCAGAGACAAATTTGGTTGTCGTCATTTCAAAGGTACGGAAACGTATTACAGAGTATTATTTTTCTTCACTGGTTCGGTGGTTTACACATATTTAAAAATTTTATATATATATATATATATGAAATAGATTTTATTAATATACTTGAGTTATTTTACTAAACTAAAAAATAAAATTTACATATTAAAACTTTATAAAAATATTATCAGTGATTTTTTTGACTCATAGATATATAATACTATGTATTACTCCCTCCGTCCCCTATAGATCTTCCCAATAGCCCTTTTTCTTTGTCCACAATATATCTTCTCATTTCATTTTTTTACAATTAAAATACCACAACTATCCCCACTTACTTTATTTATTACACCTCACCCACCCCATTTAATACACTCCACCCATTTTCATTAAGGGTATTACAGTAAACTTTCACCTTTTTTCAACTCTCCTTAAAAATCACAAAAAGTCAAAATGAGAATTTTTAGGGGGACGGAGGGAGTATATTTTTAAAATTGAAAAAGAATTTTTATACAATCTTTTTATTAATTATGAAATATTATAAAAAGTTATGTGAACTTGAAACAACAAGTACCCTTGCTTGAATGGTTAGGAAATCAATCAATTGTCTAAGAAGTCTTGGGTTCAAACGCTCACGGAGTCAAGGTGAGTCACAGAGTCAAGTTTTGGAAAAAATCGCAAAAAAAAAAAAAACTGGTCGGACTGGTCTGACCGGCTGGTTCTTACTGGTTCGGCCCGGTTTGATGCACATTATGGTCCAACGGGCTAGACCAGACCGGTTGGACCACCGGTTCGCCTGTTCACGGTCCGAACCGGTCGGTCGAGTCCGGTTTTTAAAATTATGTGTTGGACAAAACAGAAGGGAGAGGAAGAAAAAAAAGAGGGCGGCTGAAATAAATCGCAAGGGAGAAAAGAAGAAAAGAAAGAAAGAGAGGAAGAAGAAAAAAAGAAGAATGAAAAGAAGAAGAAGAAAAGGAAAGTGGGACGGAACTAGGAGGAAAGGAAGAAAAAAGAAAAGAAGAAGAAAAGAAGTGGGTGGGGAGGTTATTTGAGTCTTTTTACCTTATAGAACTTACTAAAAAAGGAAATGAGAAGATAAATTGTGGACTGATGAAAAAGGAAAGTGTGAAGATATATATTTATATATAAATTCGAGATTTCAGCTTCAGACTCAATCAAGGTTGCAGAGTTGAAGAATGGTGAGATTCAACACCTCTCTTTATCAAGAACTACTGCTTTATGGCTAATAGAGTCCTTGAATCACCCTCCCTTTAGAAGGATAGGATGTACTATTATAAGATACGAAGGTCAATCTTCAACTAAAATGTACTGGGATTCAAATAAATTTGGGGAGTTTGTAAGAATCATCAGAAGATCTGAAGACAATAAGGCGCAGATTTTTATCCCAGTGGGGCTGGACTATGAGGGTATTAACATCTTTGTGAAAGCACTTGTTGAAGCTGTGATGTTCCTAGAGGGTAAAGAAAAAGAGATGGTATTGAATGACTCTAGAAGTGAGGCTACAAATCTTGAAGAGGACATTTGCATATTGTCACAAATTGAGGAGGTGGAAGATGATAAGAGGAATCGGCCATCGATATCCTCATAGCTTACTTGAACAAGATATAGAATTGGTAACTAGAGAGTCATCCTTATCAACTCAGGGATCAGTGAAGAGGCTGAAACAGAAATACTCTTCCAACCAGTTTTCCAAGCATACTTTGAGGCACTCTTTAAAGCAGCTGAGAACCAGATATGAAAGAGGCACTGGCAAAGAGAGCTTTTTTGGATGATCTAAAAAAGGGATTATTTCAAAATCAACAGGGAAAAGCTTCGAGGGCAACTAGAAAAACAATTAAAAGTATGGAAATTGTAAACCTAGTTAACATAGAGGGAGCTAAATATCCTGTCTTTGTCTCTTATTCTAATGCAGACAAAGACATAGTTACTGAATTTCTTACAGGAGAGCCTCAAGAGGAAGGAGTAGCCTGGGGTCAGATTTATAAGGCTATTTACATTTTGGTTTGTGCTAGTGATGATTCAATATGGCTAAGGTATGAATGTCCTTTGGTGGTTGAGATTGAGGATTAGTGTAGACTCATTGTGTTGGTATGGGGTTTATAAATTGCTGAGGGCAACTAGAGAAACAATTAAAGTAGCTCTGAGGATTTAAAGAATCTTCTGGTTTGTACTGCTGGAACTGGGTTAATTACATACCCAATTTTTTTAATGGTTACTGCGTTTGGGAATCAAGTTTATGCATTTGGAATTTCTTTTGAGTTGCTGGATCAAACTTGAAATTTCATGGTTTCGTATTGGAGCATTTGAAGATACCTCTACAGCTTTTGGAATTGGACATTTTTGTTTCCTGGTTTTCTTGTATTTTGAGGGAGTCTTATGTAATTTGTCTTCATTTAAATGGTTTCTTCTCTTTTGGACTGGTTTGGTTCTTGTTGTAGGGGTTGACCACCCACTTGGTTGTACTTTTACTTTTGTTTTAATAAAAATCATTTATACACACACACACACACACACACACACATATATACATACATACATACATACATATATATATATATATATATATATATATATATATATATATAATTTACTTAAGTCTTACATTAGAAAATGACTTATGTTTTAGTGTTATTTATTGTAAATATTTCTATAATTAGTGCTACTTACTTTGGTTCTCTAGAATTACTCCTGCTTCACCATTGTTTCCAATTTTTTCCCTGCTTTGATTTTCATCACAAAGAGAAACAAATTCTGAAAGCGAAACCTCCAAAACTATTTTAAAATAAGATTTGAAAGCTTCATTCTTAACATCTAGAGTAGTGGTGAATTTTGTTTTTAGATTTAATAAAAAATGAGAAGAATTAGTTTAATACTCCCTATTAGAAATGAAACGAAAAAACAAGAAGATTTCATGAAGATCACGTTAACTCTTGTTTTTTTAGAACTTGTGTACGCTTTTTTAATATATACACACTACTTTTTAAAATTCAACACCAAGTTTCAATTACTCTTTTGAAAATAATTTTAGTCAAACATTGTCAACTGATGATGGAGCCTTATTTCAAAACAAATGAAGCAAATAAATACAAACATAAAATATTTACATTTTCTTGATATACTTCTAAAAAATTTGACTTCAAAGTGAAGAAAAATTAGGGAGTGCAATTTAAGGGGTGGGAGGCTTGGTACCATCAATTTTTCAATCAGGGTTACGTAAGGGGCTTTAATTGGAACTCGAGTCATAGTATGAAATTGCGTTCAATGTCACTTGAACCCGTCCCTTTCTAGTTTTTTTTTATAATATTCACATACAAATATCATAAATATGTTCCATAATTAATGGGTTCTTATTTTGAAAATGAACCATTTTGTGAAATAACTCCAAGTTTGACTTGAAGGTGGAAAATTCCAAAATAGTCATGTTCTTATTACCTGAATAGTAAACATGCATTATAATTTGGGACGGAGGGAGTACTATTCAATGGTTTGAATTTTAATTTATTTTCTTTACTTATTTTCACTTCTTATTTGAGAGAAAAAATATGATTTATAATGATGCCAACTCGTGCTTCGTAAAAGGTTTTGGTATAATTTTTAAAGATTGCTTCTTTGGTGTACCTTGAGTGCATATCACTTTTGTACACATTTGCACATAAAGAATTTTTTTTATTTAAAAAATAAATGCTTATTTAAGTAGTAAAAAGAGCTTATTTTTTTCATATGTAGGTCTATGGTGGACCTTAGGTCCACCATAGAACTTTTCATTTTTAAATATATATGTAGTAAATTTTAGTTTAACTTTTTTAGGGGCTGTTTGGCAACTTCTGAATCGGTAAGTGCTGAACCAGTAAGAGATCTGAACCATTAAGTGCTGAACCAGTAAGAGGTCTGAACCATTAAGAGCTAGTATATTGCTTAACTATTCAGAGGCAAATGTCTAATCAATTCAGATAAGAGGTCTTAACCATTCAGACTCTGTATAACCATTCAGAGGCAAATCTCTTAACCATTCAGACATCTGAACCATTAAGAGGCTGAAACAAACAGTCTGAACCATTAAGTGCTGAACCATTCAGACATCTGAACCATTAAGAGGCTGAAACAAACAGCCCCTTAGACAAAAGATAAAAATATTTGATTTGAGACCAATTAAGTATTAACTATGTCTCAGTATGTTTGTCCAATTTGATTTTTTAGAGTCAAATTAGATGAACTTGGATCTTCAATTACTCTTAATTTGTATTGCATACTAGTATATTGAAATGAAATTTTTGAAATTTCTAACAACATAAGTCTAATTAAATATTTTTTGTACAATTATACATCACAATCTTTATTTAATTAAATCTCAAAGTTCATTCAGTTTGACTTGAAAAAAACAAAACTAGACAACTACAATAGGACAAAGGGAGTACATGATAATTTCATATTTTATTTCAAACAGAAATCATTGGGTTCTGGGGTTTCCAGCTACGAAGTGAATGGAGACCACTTCAAGAAAGAAATCATTTTCATATGCGTGTGGTAATCTGATATCAGAAGAAAGCATGAACCGAACAAATAGAACCATCTTAAAATCCAACCAAAACAAAGACGATATCATAGGCTGAAGTTGGCATTTGAGATTGAAAGCAGCAAACAAACAAATCAAGCAATCTGCAAGCCTGGGGCAGCTTATTGTAATTAATGATGCATGGAGTATGCATATATAGGATCATCTTGGAGAAAACAGCAGCTTGGGTTTGGAAGGCATCGGCTTGTTCTCCAGATACGATCTCAAAAGAAGAAATGCTTGTCGAGGGCGATGGAGCGGCACCTCATGCCCAGCTCCAGTCACAGTCACAAACGTTAGCCCATCATATACCTGACTCCACCCTCCTACCTGTAATGGAACTTAGAACAAGATTAATGTATATGTTCTAACATAGAGAACCTCTTAGACTCCGTTTGGACATTGTGGTTTTGAAGAGTAACGCTATGTTTGGTTCGGCGAATTAAGGACAAGAATTTCTCTTCTTTTCCTTGCCAGTTTGGAAGGAAATTTGTTTTTCCTCCCTTGAGGTTGTTTTCTCCTCTCATTTTCTTTTCTTTTCCTCTCTAACCAAACAAGGAAAATTATTTTTCATATCATTTTGTTTTCTTTTCCCCCATCAAATTCTTTGAACCAAACCTAGTGTAAGAGTGATCATGTGAAGAAACTGTGTTTGGAAGTTTTATGAGAATAAGTTTCAATGCATGTAATGGAAGGAATATGAGAGTTGATACGATTAATTGAATAAATGACAGGTATATGGGACAATTCTGTAACTCTGTGACAGTCTTTTACATATGCATATAATTTTCTCCATTCCATTCTCTCATTGCACCCCATTTTGAGGTGTTAAGAAATGGGTAAAAAAGAGGCATAAAGGAGAGTAAGAGTTACTCCTCACTATCTTAACACTATGTTTAGTTTAAGGAATTTGGAAGAAAAGAACAGAAAATAGTTTATGACAATCTTTTATACGGAGTATATATAATTTTCTCTATTCCATTCTCTCCTTTGCACCCCATTTCGAGGTGTTAAGAAATGGGTAAAAAAGAGGCGTAAAGGAGAGCAAGAGTTACACCCAAATAGGAGTGTAGAGCGGGGTACTCACCCTAACTCCTCCTTACTCTCCATCCAAACAGACCCTCAGTTTCACGAAGCAAAGAAAAAAAAATGAGTTTGTTCGCTGGTTTGACTAACCTTTCCATTGTCATACCAAGGATACCAGTTGGTGACCGTTGAAAGATTCAAAGCATCAATTGAGTACCGGGTTGCAGTGAGAGGAACCACTGAATCAGTATCCCCACTGCCATAATGAAGTCATAATATATCATGCTCTCGAAGCAATAATCAAATTAAAGTAATAATTACTATTAAAATAAGTATAATAACAATAATGCTTACTTGGGCTTTGTCTGGAGTGGCAAAAGCTAGTTTATAGAATACACCAAAAATATTGTCTTGGTTCAAGGCTTATTTAATAAACCTCACATACTTAATCTTATTACATTGAACACTTAGTAGCTTGTTTAATTAGTCTGTGAGCTTTTCATCTATGATTCCGTTTTTAACTTATTTGTATTTTTTTTAAAAATACTTTTTAGTACTCCCTCCGCCCAAAATAGACTTCAATCTTTTCTTTTATGGTTGTCCTAAAATAAACTTCAAACTTCTCCTTTTGCGTTTTAAGAAATGGAAGATGCCACTTGGAATCTTTCTCTCTTCTAAACAAATTTTAACCACACACTTTTCATTTTTGAATACTTTCTAAAACTTCAAGAAGTTTATTTCAAGACAGAGGATGTATATTTTAGCATATGTTTCATCTCCTTTTATATTTTGGCACAAGCTTATCGGCTACTTTTTGTGGAAGATGAGAAACCATTGCACCTACCAACAAATTTTGAGTATATGGTTGGTTTTATCGAAGAGATATTAAAAAAAAAGGAGAATGTTATGTGCTTCCGTGCTGGTATTCTGTGTGAGTCCTTTACGCAACTCATGCCACAGAAGTTATGGATCAGCAGCAGCAAGGCCTTAATCTTATACTTATAGTGTCAATTTAGTACTTAGCATTAGATGGCACTATAAATTCATGCAGAATAGCAGTATATCACTGACAAAGTTTAACACCAGATGCTCTTCATGTTGAAAACTTCTAAGAAGGAAAACAAGACAAAGATAAAGGGTTCCACATTGTGGGATAATAGGTAAAGGTGTCATATAGGAGGGCAACATGTAGTAAAATCATAAGCTGAGGCTGAAATGTTTACCTAAATACCCATATCCTGAGACCAGCGAGTATGAGCTCCCGATAAATAGGAAGCATGGATAGAGGAGAATCTGCCCAGTGGATACCAACAATATCACTGCAGAGTAATGAATTCTGAATTAGCAAAAGCTTTACCACTTGTAAAATGCAACGCATGGTGTGAGGAACCAGCTTCTTTTATAGTTATATACCTGCATGTTTGCCATTTATAGGGAACTTGAGTTACATTGGCATGCAACGCCTTCTGAACTTCCGGGAGATTAAAATATATTTGAGAATAAACCTCCGTGCATGGATCATATGCTCGGGACATCCATGGCTACACCATTGAAAGGAAAAAAGAACATGTATCAGGTCAAAAAACTGGAATTAAAAAATCAAAGAATTGTAACAACAACAAAAATAGTATAATCCCAAATAAGTTGGGGCCCGGGGGTCAAGATGTACAAAACCTTACCCATACAATAGAGTCATGTTTGACCAATTTGCAGTTTTTTAAAGTTTGGCAAAGTACATTGTCAAAATCATACTTGTATTCTGGAGTATGTTTTTTAAACCCCAAAATTATCATATTTTAGTTAATTTGACTCTTTTCTGGTGTATTACATGAAAAATTAGCCTTTTTATCAAGCAATATTCGTTTTTGGACAAAAAAGTGTTTGATATATGACTCTTTTTTGGGGATTTGGGGGGGGGGGGGTTAGGACGTGAACTCACACGACGACCCCTTAAGCGGCGCACAAGTGATGATGAAGTATAAGGACAGGGGGGTGTGTATATGCTATAGGGGTCAATCATTCCCTGCTCTTCTTCTGCAATATCAAGAGCTTTGGTACAATCATTAGAAGGATGAGCAGATGATCCCAAGTCACATGCTATCTGAAGAAACTTGTATGTGGAATCTGAAATCAAACCATGGGTCCACCAATACTCAAACGTGCCGATATAGTCGTTGTAATCATCAGTAACCGCGTTCCCAACCAAGAAGCCCTTAAAATTAATAGCGGGGTCCTTGATTCCCTTGTTTCTGTGATATATAATTTGAGATAGTTGAGGAACATAGTGCCCTAAGAAATGACAAATGCCATTTGTATTAGTCTATCTACCAAACCAAAGTTCATCCAAACAAAGAAACAGATAATAAAATGACATACCTGCATAACTCTCTCCAGCAATATAGAAATCTCTGTTTTTGTACTGAGGAAATCTTTCAAACCATTTCACAAGAAATAGGTATGCATCGTAGGCTACATAGTTGAACAATCAGAGAGCTCATTCATGGAAACTATGACCAATTGACCACAAGATAGAAGCAACACTAATAAATGAGGTCAAAAGAAAACATATAAAATAAGTATCACCTGTTCTTTCATCGCCGGCAGTATACAAATCTGAGGTTGTATTTGAGTATGAGAAACCAACACCAGCTGGTGATTCCAGAAAAAGTAGGTTTGCCACTGCAAAAAAATACTTTCAAGAATAAGAATGTGTAGATTTTAGACTAATTAATTTGGACGGTTCAGATGCAACTACCAGATTTACATCATTGGTGGAAAGTTGCAAACACATCTCACCCTTTTCTTCTCAGCTATTAAACTATTATGCATTGATGTTTGGAAATATCTTAAATTTGGGTGTGTGTCACTCATAGCTTCTAAACAGAACGAAATGAACTGTGTTTGGTCATTGTATTTGTGTATTTGTAGATATAATGTTATTTATTCTGCACATTGTTGATTTCCCAAAATATAATACCAACAAAGGACACTTTCAAGAATAAAGGCACTTTTCAAGGATACTCCCTAGTTTCCATTTTGGGCATTCCTAAACAAAATGTCTACTTCTGTCATTTCCTTTTAAGCAAAAAAAAAATACGTGTGTCACAAATTTTCTACTTTTTCCTTCCTCTAAACACACACTTAACATTTTTCTTGAACTCCATAACATCAACTTGTCAACATTATTAAAGGGACAGGGGAGTATATGATTGAGGACATAAAAGAAGAATAATCACATACAGTTGTTCCAAGAATAAGGATTGAGGTAGAGAGTCTTCCCATCAGCATTGATGTGGAAGGGACCAATCTCCTCAGCTGCACCATAAGCTACAGAAGAGCATCCAGGCCCTCCATTGAGCCACAGAACGAGCGGCTTCTCCCCGGGATTCCCCTGGCTTCCGGGAGACTCAATCAACCAGTAAAACAGTGCCCTCCCAGCTGCTTCATTCACTGTCACATAGCCGGAGTACTGCAAGAAGTCTACATTTTCCGGCTGCCCTGGCAAATGCAATACCCTATCTTTCTCCTGCTCTGGTGTGGTGCTCAAGCAGTAACAAGAAGTACCCAGTAAAAGAAACGGCAAGCAAAGTGCAGGCAGCCATGAGTGCAAAGGCTGCTTCATTCAGTCAATTTATCAAACACAATCTGGGTCCAGTTGATGATGATGAAAGAAAACAATTCTGGGATTTGTCTAACTTTAAACTTTCCTCTATTAGTAACAACAGTAGTTAATCATCTCACAAGAATCTAGTTCATAAATCACACAAAGAACCCACACGGAATAAAACCATTTTCATCCCAGCTTTGCATTCAATCTCATATTCAAATGAAATCATTTTTTTAAGTTGTGACTTTAAAATGATTCATAATGGAGAGAAATAAGGAGTCCCTACTTGTAAGTTGTAAGTTGGCAACATGGTAGGTAGGTCCTTCATTCGTCAGTCACGGACCGGACCGGCTGAACTTGATCGAACAATGAGGGGAAAAAAAGTTTGCCCTGAAAAAAAAAAGTGAATAGAAAAATAAAAGAGCCAAAAATCGGACAAAAAGCAAAAAGTTTACCGCGCATCACGCGCAAGCAAAATTGAACTATTAGCAAAAAATTGATGAAAAAGCAAAATTTGAAAAGAAAAAAAAAAGATTATGGAGCATAAAATTTACCGTGAAAAGAATGGAACAAAGCAAAAAAATTGAACAACAAGCAAAAAATAAAATAAGGTCAAATCAAAATAGAACAAAAAGAAGAAAATTGAACAAAAAGCAAAAATTGAAAAATATACGGAGGGTAAAAGTTACCTTGAAAAAAATTTGAACAAAAGCAAAAATTTGTAAAGAATAAAAAGAGTATTGATGGAGATATGGGTTCTGTTGGGAAATTAAACACACAACACACACAAATAATCTGCGAGAAACAAGAGAAACGGAACACAGACGACACACAAGAATTTAACGTGGTTCGGTTTCCCTAATCCACGATTGCAACAGAAGGATTTTCTTATTTCACTTGTGGTGCCAAGATTACAAAATACAAGCCCTCTATATATAGGGAAAAGCTAGGGCTACGCACAACTGGCCGGGTCGACAAACAAGCCTCCACAAAGCCCAACAGGTTCTACCACTCGAGCCTATATTTATTGGGCTCGGCTTGAAGCAAATGAGCACGCCATGGGGCATCCTCAACCATGCACGAAGTAAGCCGCAGGATCGTGCCCAGTTGCCACACTCGGCCATCTCATACGCCCTCTGCAGCAACGAGGCCACGCCTTATGTCTGAGGGCCAACTCTCGGGGAACTGCACGAACTTTGCAGTTAGAGATAAGGATGTCATGAGAGGGTGACGCAGCATGAACGTGGTCAACGAGATAAGCATCATTAGAAAGTAATTTTAGAAAATGATATGTCATAAAGGAAACGACAAATATAATTAATGAGGCCCCTAGGCCCAAATCTAGGATAATTTGGCCTTGACCTGTAACATCATTATATAAATAGACCCCCCGTGTCCAACTGGGGGATCAAATTTTGAGTACTAAAATACAACACATTGAGCTTTCTTTCTCTTTTATTTTTCTTCTACCTTCATCCTTAGAATTAATCAAGTATAAAAATGGAGTATCAAAATTGGGGGCACCACTACAAATTGAATTATTATTGGGTTATACTAGACCAGACCGAAACCCAAAAGTTTAAAAATCTTGGACTTACGACCAACCTTATATCTACTCAGTCTGGGTTTGGTCTATACCTAATCGTTCGGTTCGGTCAGTTTTTTTGGTCCGGACTTAAACCTGAATAATCCTACCTTCATTTCTAGAGTTAGACAATAATTAATTTGCAGAGGCCATGGAATAATGATTATTTTTTCCATTGTCTCTTCCCCTGCAAGCCCCTTACGGAAAACATGAATTCTATTCAATTTTTTTAAATTTGTCTTTTTGGACTTCTTAATTGCACGCTCACTCTCTCCTTCACCAACATTTTTTTCTTTTTTATTGAGAGAGAGGGGGCCGAGACCCCGAGCTAGTAGTTTTGTAAGGTAGAGGAAGTGTTTCACGTAGTGATAACGCCCATCATGTCGTCAGGAACTAAAGTCTCCAGATCCACAGTAGGAACCTCAAAAGTTCTCTACTAAATGTCCTGAAAAGCACAAATATTAGCAAGACGATCAACCACTTTGTTTTGTTCCAGAAACATAGCGATGGAGCCGATACTTTGAAACCTCTCTTTCAAACTCTTGATAACTGCAATAATATCACTAATATTTCTTCTCAAGTTGACTAATCTCGTAACTCATTTGACACCTTCTCCAACATCAGTTTGCACCTCAAGATCTCTCACCACTTTCTCTCTCTCTCAAGCCCATTAAATGCCCTTTTTAGTGGTTTTATCCTCAATGTTGGTAAGTTTAGTTATAAAAGAAGAACCACCCAACCATTCTTTGCTATTGCTACAAATGATTCCACCACATCCGGCCTTGTTCGCCCTTATTTTTCTACTACCATCAACATTCACAGTAAACTCATGGTCAATTATTAATTTCCACTTTAGCAGCCGATCTATTGCAACCAAAGAATAGAGTGTCCATGAATGATAATTTCCAAAGATTTGTAATAATCTCCTTGGTTATCTCATTGATCCTAACCACATTGTGACCAACAGTTTACCTTTAGTACAATTAAGTAATCCCTCCTGAGAAGGTCAAGCACTTTCTTTAAGGTCAATGTGAAGCTGGTGGTGTTCGGTTGACATTAGCCCTAATATCATCCTATGACATGGGATCCATTTTAGGGTCCTTACGGTGCTTCATTCATAAAATTAATAGTTTTTATTCCCTAATCTCAGTAAACCCTCCATCCCGACCCGAACTGACCCCCACCCGTTCAATTGCACCGCTCCAAAATTAGTTGACTTTATACTCAAAATTTGACTCCAAAGTCCCTAATTTGGTGGTGCAATTGAAGGGTGCAGAGGATGGGTTCGGGTCCGATCGGGATGGAGAGTTTACTGGGGGTTAGGGGAGGTAGGAATTGTTAATTTTTTTATTGGAACACCGTACGAACCCGGAGTAATATATTGTGAACCATTGTCATGGGAACCAAGCAGTTTGAAGTTTTACTTTATTCTGTTGGACTCAAAATTCTAAAATAGTTGCTACCCCTTTTAACCTCCCTAAATCAATCATTGCCCTAGCAACTCTAGTGCATGAGGGTAGGGGATAGTCTAGAGGTTACAGAAGTAATAATTGCTTTAGAATCCACATAGCATCCTAGGGCTTTAAATTGACCGAATGTCATAATTTAACACCAATAGTTGTAGAGCCTTTCTTCATAATATGTGATGACATTCATGATCGTCTAATACGGATTAAAATGTTATTACACGTTCGTGGTGCCGTCGTACATATTTACCCATATAATACAAAAGAAAAAGAGGATTTAGGAGTATATCTTTTGTGAAAGGAGTCTACAACCTAATTTTAGGCACTGTAAGATCAAACCAATCATACCTCTGCTTTTTTCTTTCAACTTTCTCCAACAATGCATTGAGTAAAGCACCACGAGGGTCTTACGCCGCCACTTCGACTCGCATCTGCACCACAAGCTCTTAGATAGATTGTGATGGAGGTAGAGGATGCATCAGTATAATTTTCAAAACCTACGACATTCAGGCTTGATCCTCGATGGTTTCACGGGATCCCATTCATGTTCTCGCTTAGGTGGCATTTTTATACGAGGTCGTGTCTATAACACCCTAACCCGTCCAGCAACCCCTTTCGGACTAAAGTATGAACTTGGTAATCGTAAAATTCATAACATTTCAAACACTTTTATTTATCATAATAATATTATACATAACAGAAAAAATACAGAGTTTTCAATGTTGCAAAAGCTTAACAAATCACAATCACAAAGCATAATTAATTTTGTTCAATTCAGATATTCAATATTCATTATTTCAATAGTGCTCTTAAATTATTCTTAATCTAAGGCCAAATCATTCTGATAACAAAGTTCTTAAACTATTCTTAGTCTAAGACAATATTTCTAACCAACTTTTAAACTATAATTAGTTCAAGGTACATAATTCTTAACCAACTCTTAAACTATATTTTGCTTAACGTACATATTTCTTAACCAACCCTTAAACTATAATTAGCGTAAGGTACATATTTTAACCAACTCTTAAATTTTAAATAGTTTGAGGTACAACATAAGAATAACCGAATAGTGCACTACTCACTGTCGGGTGGGTGGTATCCCCAAACGAGCTATTCTCTAGTTTGATTTGCGGATCCTGTACATACGTTTTTACCCAGGTCACCAGACTTCATAACTACAAGGCCTAATTAAACAAAGTGGCATGGGGTCTATCTTAGAACTTTTCTAGATTGCCTTAACAATACACATCATTTTCATAATAACCAATATATTCATTTTTAATCATGGTTCAATCATTCATAATTATCATTTCAATCGGAATATTTATCAAGGTTTAATGATCATAATCAACAATCAATAATAATCATCATAATATTCAATAACAAATAGTGGCCTAGCGTCGAGTGTTAACACCCTAATTTACCATTATGCATCACACATGGTTCTTGGATTAGTTAATTCATCATTTTTATTTCTAAAAATCATTTTCAATAGTTGAATGATATCAAAAATAAGATTTTATAGCTTCAAAATCAGATTTTTCATCATGGAAAATGTTCGGAACGATCGACCATTTCCGCTATCGTCACTGGTTTGGAAACTAGAACTGAACGGTACCATGTCTACCATTCTAACGATAGCTGGTTACTGGATGGTAGACTGTGGTGGGACAGTCGACCGTTCGAATGATACCTAGCTACCGTGTCGGTGGTTGCTTGTTACCAGACGGTCGTGTTTACTGTTCATCACCTTCTTCTTCTTGTCTATTTTTGAAAATATCATTTTAAGTCAACAAACTTCAATTCAACTATATAGAAATATTCTCCAAGATTCATATATCATTTTGGTATCAATAATTCAAAGTTTTAACAACAAATTCAAGGTTTATGATTTTTGGTTCTTTATGTCAAACATAAAACTAAACAAAATGATCGTTTATGAACGTACAAATGATCTATACAAACATTCTAATCACTAGATATATCTAGAGGGATTACCTCAGGCTAAAACGAAAGTTTTAGAAATTTTCTGGCGAAACTTCCAACGACGATTAAGCCCAATTCTAACAACCTCAAGCTCTCCGTGCAGCACCATTGCACTTTGCACACTCTCAAGAACAGAATAGAAGAAAGAATGAACAAAATTGGTGAGGAATTGAGGGATAAGAGGTATGCTTATATAGTGGGAAGAGGTGAAGAAGAAATCAAGCCAACGTCATTCTCGAATGGCTCAGTGCGCTAGGCTGCGTTTCAATTTTGATCTTTTACGCTTCTACCTGATTCGGACTAATTTGGTCTTAATAGCTAGAGGTACACTTTTCAGTCTAACTTTCTCCAAATTAAATTTCGGTTGTACGATTACAATCCGACAGTCAAACTCTATCCAATGATATAATTTTTTATTTATTTATAATACTTTTTCCGACACCATATTTTTGGGTGTTTGACTTTAATAGAGTCAAAATTGATTTAATTAATCTTTTACTAAAAATATCTCATATTCAATTCATATTATTTATTCTCATGATTTATTTCAATAAATCATCTCAAAGTTCACATCATAAATTAAATTATTTATTTATTCTTGATTTGGATCTGTACTCTGGTTTCCAATCAAAGTCACACAAACAATCAACATACTAAATTTTATCTTCATGAGATTCATCAAGAATGTGATATTGGATACCAGAACATTCAGTTTTGGCCCAAGGCTCAACAATAATTTATTTCAATATAAACAAAATTATTTAATTGAATAATAATTCAATAATAATTTTAGAGTGTGTTTTGGGGCATTACAGTGTATTAGCCTTGCAACAATTGTATTCCTCATTATTGAGTCTATGTGCTCGACGTCGTTTCTTTTTTCGTTCCAAAGTGCGAGACCATATATACTTTTAAATCAACAAAGTGTCGACCTCCTAGACATTCACGTGTCAGGGCGCGTAACCTGCTAAACACAAACACCTCATGCGATTGCATTCCTTTCCTCACGGAAGTGGTATCTTGAAGTAGCGGACGTGACATGGTGAATAATCGGATGCCTCTCAACCTCCTCCCTTAGATACACCACTTGTGGACGTTGCTAAGCTTGCAGCTGGTTCACTTGACCCACATTATTCAACACACATTGTGGATGCAGAGGCGCGATCACACCCTTGTTTATTGCGAATTCTACAAAGTTTATTGTTGAGCAAGTTGTTCACCCACTACATCTCGTTGTTCAACCATTGGCAAAGCCTATTGTACAACCACCGTCAATGTCACCTAAAAGTTTATCAAGTCGATCAGAGATGGCTAGACCCCATCGCGAGCTCAGTACCCAGTCCAGCCACAAAAGGTCACTCGCAAAATAATAGGTTTGGACTTGAGTCACTTAACATTCTAATTTACGGACACGGCTCAGGCTCTATATATGGAGGCACATATATTTTAGCTAGGACTTGAGTTTTATGATCAAGCCCGCGACTCGACGCAAATGAATAATAATATTTATTGTTAATATAATTATAATCAAATAATAATAACAACAATATTAAAACTATTAAAAATAAAAATAACAATATTGCTTCAAATTATTATAAACACACATACATACTTCTATGGAGAAAAAAGGAATTATAAGTATATTTAATAAAATGAATACATTTTTATTACTCCGTATCACACATTGATAATGATATTCAAATAAATAATATATTACTGGATCTTTGATATACTTATTATAGTTGTTATATCTAACATCTAATTTATTTATTTAGAAAATTTATGGAGTATTATTTTTAATTATTTAGAATTTGTTGTCCTGCAGACCGAGCTGGCCATAGCCCGCTAGTACTCATGTGGGCCGGGCTCGAATTTCAATTGTTAAGCATATGGGCCGGGCTTGGAGTCGAAGCTAAACAAATCTCGTAATATAGCATTTCGGCCAGACCCAACCCGTACTTCGATCAAGTCTAGAGATGACATTTCTATCGTATACGACCTTTCTATTATTATATTGTTGTTGTTGTTGTTGTTATTATTACTCTAATTAATAATAATAATATTGTTATCGTTATTATTGTCATTACCACCATCACCTTTGTAGTTAAAATAAAAAATAAATTGAGTAACATCATAATTTTTACAAAAAAAACATATTTTTTATCCCACCCAAAAATATTATTCGCAGTCAAATACAAAATACTAAAATGTTAAATGAAATTAATTTACTGTATATTTGCCTTTATAATTTTGTCTTTGTTGATTGAAATATCCCTAGATTATTTATATCAAATTGACTTTGGATTTATGAACAGATACTACATTGTAATAGAGTCAATAACATTAAAAAATGACTTTTGATTAAAATTAATAAAAGATATTATTTCTTTTTCTCAATATTTTTGGTACATGAGTTAGTGGAATGTAAATTAAGAAAAATAATACGAAGTAATAAGTATGAATAAAAAAAATATTACTACTATACATGTGGTTTGAAACAAAAATAGATTAACACATAAAAAAATAAAACAAGGTATTAAAATTAATGGAATATAAAATATTTTAATCAAAAAAATTCAGAAATATAATACACACTCCATCCAAAGTATTTGTCAAGTTTAATTTTTTTGAGTTAAAGTGCACACTCTTTTATCATTAATTACTTTCAATTTTAATTGTTCATGAATTGAATGAAATCAAAATTTTAAAGGTTTCAGCAAAATAAAAACAAAGAAATCATTTTTATACCAATTTATGGGTTACATTTTACATCATAATTTTTATTAAGTTGAAACCAAAAATTCAAATAAGGTTGACTAAAAAAATCAAACTCGAAAAAACATTAGAATGAAGGTAATATCATTTCAATATTTTTCATTTTTCCTACATTTTTTATCTGTTTTCTAGTTTTTCTAATTTATTCAAGTTTCTTTTAATAGTTTTTAGGAAAAAAACTAAAGTAGGAGTAAAACATTGAAAATATACCAAAATAGGATTTTCATGTTTTTATTCTCAAAGTAAGAGTTAAAATGCATTTACATTAACAAACGTGGTCATGTACATTATTAAAAAGTATAGTAATGTGCACGTGTACAATGCCGCATAACCTCCACATTACCACGGTACGAACTTCTGTTTCGAAAATAAAATAGAAATCACATTAAATAGGATTAAAACATAGAGAAAAATACTAAAATAGGACTTTCATGTTTTTTTCCCGAAATAGAACTTTGCACTGTGGTAATGTGACTATTCACTGTGGTAATGTGACAATGTACATGTGTACATTACTATTTTTTTTGTAATGTATATGACCATGTTTAGTAATGTAAGTCTTATTTTGGAAAAACAAATATAGAAGTCCTATTTTGGTATGTTTCAAATATTTTAGTTCTAATTTGATCTTTCTCCCAAAATAAAAATATTAAAATTCTATTTTTATAATTTTTCTATATTTTAATCTTATTTCAAGTAATTTCTAATTTTTTTTAGTTTCTCCCACATCTTTTACTTTTTCCCACTCGCAATAATCGAAGGAAATTTAAAAAGTTTG